AACTTGCCCATCCTGTTGGTAGTTTGGCTCGTTATAAACTCTGTTTATGACATTTTGATATTGCGATGAAACACGTGAATGGTGGTGAAACCATGTGGGGAGTAAACCTGATCTTTTTGTGTCACTTTTCAAAAAAAAAACTAAGAGTTTGATGACAGAACTAGGTTTGATTAACCCACGAAGCACACACTTTTCTGTGAATATTTTTGGCACTTTGACGCATACTTTTCCTGTTGCCATGGTGCTGCCAAGGTCAGAGGCCAAATAAAGAAATCAGAGCTTGCATGGAGCTCTTTGGCACCGTAAACACTTGTGAAAGTAAAATTGTTATTTTAGCGTCTCTTTGCAGGATCTGAAACAATGTGAAGCATCATTCACACAATAGACAAGAGAGGTGCCATGTGATTCACTAGTAAACACTCACAGGAAGTGAAGACTCAGAGCATGACATGTGGGGACATCTGGTGGACAGTCTGGGTATTACAGGATGCAACACCCAGGTTCATCTTATAAAACCCCTAAAAGTGTTTGAATATTATGTAGATCTGTGTTTTAGATTTTTTTTCTCTCCTTTCTTTTATAGTAATGGTTTAGTTTACAGTATGTGTTCAATCATCTGACTTTGCTGTGAATCAATTACTTTGCAGCAAAAACCTTTTAAGTTACGGTGCCAAAGGCCTGGTCCCAGGGTGAAGTAGTCTCTCAGAACTCACTCCACATGCACATCCTTTTCTTCAACAATAACATTTTTTATATTTGAAAATGTATTTATTCATCTGTTTAATTTATTGGCATAGTGAAACTATCGGTGAAAATTGCAAATGACAAGGTTTCATCTAATCTAGAATTCCAGGTTGGAGGCAAACTAAATGTTCTTTAATTTAAGTCTTTTAATTACATAATAAAAATACCTGAAACATATAAAATATTAATTATGTTTAGTGTAGCGGTCACACTTTATAGCGTGACGACTGCAAATTAATTATGACCAATAAGATGTGATGATTCCATATAAATATGAAACATCGATCTGATTGATCTTTGAATGTTTAATCAGAAGAGTCTAGGGTTCTTTGCTTGTTCAGGGACAATAAACACACTTCGCATTAATTCAGACAGAGTTCCGTATATAGTTAAAAAGGAATTTTATTATTTTCTAAACTAATGATTATACATGACAAGATATGAATGATGAGATGTGTTGGAGGGTGATGTGTAGGTGGTGTGATGTAAGCAGGATGTTTATCAGAATCTTTGTATCTGAAAGAAATTGTGAAACCCGGGTGTAAAAGAAGTTGTTGTCTGCTATAATCTAGAGAGTTGATTATTAATAAAACAGCATCAGACGCAATCTGTTGTGTCTACAAACCCTGGCGAAGACCCCCGGGAGATCCGGACTGTCAGAAGTCGGGTGAACCTCACGGCACCGGGATTTCGTAGATTAAACTCCGATATGACCCGTCCAGTCTTGGGATGTCTTGTTTGCATCCAAAGTGGATGTGTCTCTTAGGGAGCCGTCTGGCTGTGTGAACTTGCAGCGTGCAAACAGGTTGACTGTATGTCAAAAGAGATGTTTCTTTCCTGCTTTGGCCGAATCGGGGTTCAGCTGGAAAATGAATTAATCGGGAAGTAAATCCTGTTTTAATAAACTTCCGGCCATTCTGGCAAATCAGAGTGTGCCATGTCTGGAAGCTTTACCAAAACACTCCTCAGAAAGCCACTCCTTCCTTCAGATACAAGCTTCTTAACTGTGAATAAAGAATGTTATGTGAGGTGAACCTTAACCTTAACTTGTATCTTATGAAGATGCGTATGAGTGTAGATAATGATTAACTTGTCAAATAAAACACAGTGATTTGTGATATAAATGGATCATTGTAAGAACAAGATTCATTTCAAATTCATTGATTTAAGCACAGGTTATTCAAACATTTGATTTAGACATCTTATTCATTCATCACATATGATTATTTCACTTATGAGTTGTAAAAGTTTACTTTTTATTCAGAGTGAGGTATTCAGCAGTCTGACTTTAAGCAAAGAGAGATCAGGCGTTTGCGTGTGGTGAGACCTTGACAGTTTATTTATGTCTGCGTTGAAGAACAATGAGCGAGAAAAAGGTTGATTTGTGCGTCTGGATCCTCCAGCTGGCACAACTCTGACCCAGCAGTTCCGGCGTGCATGAAATGTTATGCTAAGTCAATTCGATGGTGGAAATGGACCCTTTTTATTTAATACATTAGTCTATTACATCAATTCAATGAGAATTGTGTCCATAACCTTTTTTGTCATAAGTGACAGTTTTGCATTGAACTCACATAACTTATTATAAAACTTCACCCAATTTTTTTGCTAATAAAAAATTTGCTTTGCCGTTCTTGTTTTTCTATACAGATTATTTTCCTATTTAAGAATTAAAGGAGAGAGTTGGAGAGAAAGAGATGGTGCAGGCTAGACAGATCATTAGTGTATCCCAGGGCCAACACCCACACTAACTCACTCCTTTGGGATTACTGCTATTGTGCTTTTTATGGGGATATAAAATTATTTGTCCCTTTTATATCCCTATAAAAATTCTTTTACACACAAACTCTTTAATTACAACCAAATAGTAAAGTGTTATAAAACCATTCTCTGGTTGTTTATATATTTCAATAAAACACTGCAAAACTTTTTCTCACTTAAATCAAATCCACAGATTTTTAATTCCCAGGTGAAGAAAAAACACTACACTTTCTAAACATTCATTGGGGTCTTAAAACGGTAAAATTGTAGCTTTTAATGCCCTACCTAAATATCAGCCATGCCAATTAATTAAAGACTTTTGTCTCTGCTGCCATCTGCTGGTGGAAATGTGCAGCGTTTTCGGACATTATATTTTTCTGCTTATTTATTTCCAAAAGTATTTTTTAGCTTTAAAGATTAGAGCATAATACCATACCATACCATACCACCTTTATTTATATAGCACTTTTAAAACACAGCCATACGGCTGACCAAAGTGCTGAACAGTCGCACAATAACAGAGATAGAAAACATAAAACAGTACTATGAAATACAACCAACAATAAAAACGACAAGCCGATAAAAATGTACCAATAAAACCTTACAATAGATGATAAAATAAGAGTAGCAAAAACCAAACAAACAGCTAACTATTAAAAGCAAGGGTAAAATAGTGTGTCTTTAGTCTAGACTTAAAATCTGCCAAGGAGGATGCCAGTCAAACTGTGACTGGAAGTTCGTTCCACAGTTTAGGACCGGCGACAGAGAAAGCTCTTTGTCCGCGTGATTTGTAACACACTTTCGGGACCTCGAGGAGCAACAGGCTGGAGGACCTGAGTGTGCGACCAGGAGTATAAATTGAAAGAAGATCAGATAAGTACACAGGGGCAAGACCATGGAGGGATTTGAAAACAAAAAGTAGCATTTTATATTGGACCCTGAAAGTGATGGGCAGCCAATGAAGGGATTTGAGAACTGGTGTTATGTGCTGGCGCCTGTCAGTACGCGTGAGGAATCTAGCAGCTGCATTTTGAACGAGTTGAAGTCGGGCAAGGATTGACTTATTGGCACCCAGCAAAATTGCATTTGAGTAGTCGAGCCTAGATATGATGAAGGCATGAACAACTGATTCCGAATTTTTTCTAGATAAAACGGCTCTTAATTTGTACAGATGGCGGAGTTGGAAAAAACAAGATTTTACAGTGGCATTGACCTGGGCGTCCATCCTTAGAGATAAATCCATCTTCACACCCAGGTTTGTCACAACGGTTTTTCGATTTCGCGAAACAGATGAAAGATCTGGGGTTTGGAATGAGCTAGATCTGACCGGATTAAACAGGATCAGTTCAGTCTTGGAATCATTGAGATGCAGAAAATTTGTGGCCAGCCAACATTTCACATCACGTAGGCAATCTAGAAGAGGCTGGATGGATTGCTGGGGTTTCACCGACATGTAAATCTGACAGCATATAAGTGATATTGAACACAGTGTTTTTTTAGAATTAAGCTGAGGGAAAGGAGGTGAAGACAAAACAACAAAGGGCCCAGAATAGATCCCTGCGGGACCCCACACGAGAGAGGAGCAGAGCGAGATGAGATGTTGTTCAACACCACCCGTTGGGACCTGTCAGACAAATAAGACCTAAACCAAGCTTTTTGTGTAATCTGGCTCCTAGGAAAGCTTTAGTTGTAGGAACAAGGCCCGCATCAGCTGCTGAGAAACACGTTCACACAGTCACCCATGTCTATTTATTCTAACAAAAAACATGCATGTGGTTTATCTCTAATTTAGAAAAATTATTTAACTGCTTTTGGAAGATGTCAAATTGTATTTTGCTTTTTCTTGAAAATAAACAATCAATCAAACAAAACAAGCACAGTTAAGAGATTTGTGGTTTCATTTAAACAACATTACAGTAACTTTCACTTTTGATTCATGTCTATCCAAAATTATTCTGATCTATGAGACAAATAAAGCATTAGTGTCAATTTTTATGTTAACATTTTTACAGTGTAATTATTACAATTTTAGTTATGCAAGAAAATTGTTTTTACAAGATCTGTTATTTGTGTTACAACTAGTTAGACAACAATATTATCTATCAGCAAATAATTCAATGAATAGCAATGATGTAACTAAAATATTTTCAACGGTATTTGGGATCTAGTAGGATGTAACTTCTAAAATATTCAAACAAGAGAAATAAAAATCATGACAACAAATGACGTTATGGAACATTTAAAAACTCAATGTAAGAATTCTATTAGTGATATTTACAAACATGCACTTTTGCATGCCTGGAAAAGAAGTTTTTCTAAATGAACATTTGAGATTAAAATATATTTATTTAAAGGACAGTGTAATTATGTTTCTTTGGTTGCAGTTTGTAAAAATCAACTTGTCTGTCCTGATTAATAAGATCTTGACTAATGGAAATTATTCCAGTGTAATAAAACGATGTGTATGGTTTATTTAGACGTTCCAACCACCGCGAGAGTTCCTCCTCCTCCCGTGTGATGTGACTGAGGCCTGACGGACGGTCCCTGTCTGTTATGGCTCCTCCTGCTACCGCGGAACGGGGCTAGACCGTCGCAACACCAGTGCAGGGGAACGGGACTAAACACGCATCGATACGTTTCTCTTGAGCCACGGCGAACGATGGCAGATCGGGAAACGTTGAAGAAGAAGACATAGACGGCGTACTTGGCGTCGCCTCTTCTGCTGTGCAAGCTTCGACATTTTCTCAAGATTACCAACACCCCAAATGAACTCCGTCAGAGCAAGTAACGTTAGCAGAAGACCCAGGCGAGTGTCGAGGCCGCGCCCGGTGCAACCGGAGAGGAACCACCAAGAAAGAGGTATTTCAGTTTTAGTTGTAGTTAAATTACAATACAGGTGACACTATGCGTTGAATTTATCATGTGTGTCATGGCCCTGTGGCTTTGAACGTGATAGATTGTAAATTGTTGACAATACAGCGGAGCGACGTTAGACGTTACGGCCAGACAGTGTTTTCAGGGGTAGCCTTCGATTCAGGAAACACCGAGGCTTTTGTGGTTGTCCGTAGCATTTAGGCCGCGCTTTGTTTTGCTTGATTTTATGCTCCGTGTCGGCCTTTGTTTGGCTTCTCTGACTTCATACCGCTGCTGTTTTTTGCGCTTTCGTGAGGTAACATTGCTAATGTGCCGGAAATCAACAATGTTTGGCAACAGTTTGCTAGATTCACGAGCAAGGAACGTTACACCGAGCGCTTTTGACTGTAGTGGTAGCACGCTAACGTACGTAGCCTGAGCTAGTTGGTTGTTATTAGCATATTTGGCTATCCGTCCTGTACGTCCCCGCCCCCGCTCCCCCAATAAAAAGTAATAAAATTAAAAAGTCGCTGTCTTCATTGACTTTGTAATGCTAATACATGAAAACGTTCCATGCTTCCTGTAATTTATGCGGAGGAAATGATTTTTAATGATGACTTATGCCGTTAGGTTTTTAGTTCTTTTTTGCAAAAATCATTGCTGAAATAAAAATTGTCAGCGTTTTGTTGTAGCTGCCACAGCTTAAGTGTCAGAATATACATAATTCTCAGGATCACTAATCAGGAATAATGTTGAACGACTTGATAGCAGTTGTGCTTTTAATGTTAAAGCTGCAGTGTGTGAATCAGATTAACTGCGTGATCAAAGATTATAGATTGTTAACGTTATTGAAGTAACACAACAGACAAATTTTATTAGGTTAAAATTAATTAATCAGAAATATATATTTGCGTTGTGTATCATAAATAACTTATTTCAACAATATATCCCAACAATGTGTACATGGCTCTCTAATAGTGGCAGCAAATATCAATGACATCTGAATATCTGTTTTAAAATGAAACAAAGAGTTTTATGTAGTCAGATACAATGGGTTTATTATTTTAGTTTAGACGTTGTTTCATTTAATTTTAGAGGTGGACCAATGTGTTTTTTTTATTGCCGATAATGATGCAGATATGTAAAGGTCATGGTCAACTGATCATGGCGATTTGGGGGGGGGGGGGGGCAGATTGTCATGGCTGATATCTAGACGTTTGTTTGCATGCAAAGATGTCAAACCAATAACAACTTTAGATGCACGTTTCTTACATTTTTTGCATTTAAACAGTTAAATCTGTACACTGCTCAGTATTAAAATCAAACATTTAACCAAAGTTTATCAAACAAATAAATAAAATGGCCATGTATTAAATATAAAACAGGAGAGTAAAAAGAAATGTCAGTTGACGATAATGTTTTTAGAGCATTTATTAAGCAGATGCTTTTAGGAACATAAATATACATGTAAGTAAAATGTAGCAGCAGCAACTGGCTGCCTACAGATGTGCCTGACTTTAAATTGGCTCAACAAAAGAGTAAGAGCAGCCTATGCGTATATATATATATATATATATATATATATATATATATATATATATATATATATATATAATGTACCCGTTTGTTTCTTGCAGAGCAGGTACTGACCAAGATGGTTTTATCTATCATTTGTTCCTTCTCCACATTCATTAAGACTATGGAGGCACTTGCAAGTATATTTTAAAGGCCAAGTTAACAGAGAAACCATTTTTACTTGTTCTGTTTGAAATATGATTGGTCACTCTTGAGTTGAACATGCAGGCTAAGCATGAAAATAGCCCTCTACCCCAATTTCCTGAAATGGCTGCTGATAGGAAATAGACGGGGAAGTGTTTGGATTAGAAAAAGCCTGTGAAGATTGCACAACATTATGTCTAGTTAGAATTCATGGACTCGCCTATCTTGGCTTGCTACGGGGAAGGCTGTTGTTGATTTAACATCCAGGAAAGAGCAGAGCCACAAGAAGTTAACCATTAGCATTAGCAACTCCACAGCATGGCAGAACTCCTCCAGGCTTGTTTTTTTGTGAACATAAAGCATCAACGATGCAGAGCAAACTGAGTCAGTGGTAGAGTCACGTTGCTGTTAGCGGCCAATCAGAGAACAAATGTGCAACTTTCACATGCATTATAGCTTCAAACATTAATAAATGCACATTTTTTACCATTTAGTATTTATAATGAAATGTTAATTCTCATAAACATCACACAAACATAGGTTTCTTTCAGATAGATGTTGTAATGTTATTTATGCTTTGTTCTCTCTTAATTATTTGCATCAAATGTAGATGAGGACATTCCTGCAGATATGGTTGCAGAAGAATCCGGTCCAGGAGCTCAGAATAGTCCCTACAAGCTTAGAAGAAAGTCTCTACCCAAGAGAACAGTGTGTCCGACAAAACCAAACATGGAGGTACAAGCATCAAGGAACCTGTTAATATATATTTAATACAGCAAAAATAATGGGTAATAAAAGGTTTCTGTTTACCTGTTTGATTGATTTATTCCTTAAAATCGACAGGGCGCTTCCACTTCAACAACAGAAAACTTCGGACACCGACCTAAACGTCCAAGAGTTTCAGGAAAGTGTCCAGACTTATCAGGTAATTGATAACAAATCATTTCTCTAGCTTTGTAATAAAAATCTATTTACCTTTGTGTTGTTTTTTTTTAATATGAGAACGATTAAGGTTCATATTTCAGTTTTTTATGGCCTGCTAGTATCTGAACTTTTAAATGGTGTCCATGTTTCTATTTCTGTACAGATTCTACTAGTTTCATTTTATCTCAGTGATAGATTTGCAAGTTTTGCAAACTTCTGAAAAGGGAAATCACGTCAAGTATGTGACTTTTAGCTGCTCTAGCCAAAGAACTCAGAATGGATTGTGGCTCGTGACGGGCTTTGTGGTACTGAAGCCAACTGTCAGCTTGCCTCATGTCGTGCACACAGTGAGCCCATGTGAACCAGAATTATATTCAACTAGAAAATATTACACTTTTCTTTTAAATTCCTGAATCCATGATTTATCTAGATTTTTTTTATAAATCTGTTCATTATGCTCCAAATAACCCAAAATTTTCACTGAAAGATTTTGTAGTCCAATCTTGACTCCTTTTGAAAGGATGGATTTGGTGTAAATATATTTATATGGCCATTTCATCTTCTCCACCCATCCTGTTGCAATTCTGTGGTCTTTCTCTCAGCAGCTCCAGCAGAACAGTATCTGCAGGAGAAGCTTCCAGACGAAGTGGTGCTGAAGATCTTCTCTTACCTGTTGGAGCAGGACTTGTGTCGCTCAGCGTGTGTGTGCAAGCGCTTCAGTGAGCTGGCCAACGACCCCATCCTCTGGTGAGACCCGGTGGTGTTGAAAATGAATACTAATAGATCTGTTGTGATTAGGTAGAGGTGTGAATCTTCACTTGTCTCCCGATTCGATTACGATTATTGGGTCAACGATTCAATTCGATTCGATATCCCGATGCATCACGATTATTTCATATTGATTTGTTTTCATCGATAAATAGAAGATGTCAGATAATTGCTTTTTATTTTTTTATCTAAAACGTAATTGACACAACCTGCCATCCCTCAAAAGCTCTCCATTCACAACAGGTTAGGACAAAACATTTTAAACATTTCAGAAGATTTAACAAAGTAAAACAATCTGTTTCCTCATTCAACACCACGCCTCAGGCTGAGAAAAACACGCTTTGCAAAAACTCACAAAATCTAAAAAAGTACTGAAAACCTACAGGACACATAATGTAATAATAAAATCCATAATGGATTCATATATGAGTATTTAATGTCTCTGAGCAGCTCTAGAGTCAAATATTTATGCCACAGTTGAAGGGTGTCAGAAATAACACCAAATGAAATGTTTGACTTAATTTGTTATTTTATTTGAACCCAGTGGTTCATTTCTGAAATGTTGGAGAATGAATCAAGTTCTGTTTGATGCAGAAAATAATAAAACACAAAACAAATTATACACTTCCAATAATATTTAAGATGTGTGTTTTATTCTTCCTGATAAGAACACCAGCAGAAGGCTGTGGGCTGGATTAGGATTAAATTACCCAGCTGATGGATCTCCTTCACTAACCAGCTAACTACAAACCTTTCCACTAACCTGTCCTGTGTGACCCTCACCAAGTAACCCTCATGTCCATGTGGCCCTCATGTCCATGCTGTCTCTGGAGGAGCAGATAGGAAACGAGATCTCCTGTAACTTAAAATGAACCAAAGCTTCCTCCCAGTTTCTCTTTAAGCTGAATTTAACATCAGTTTGTCATCATGGAACAAAAGAATAAAGTGGAACAAGAACTTCTATCTTCTATTTCTCTCTTCTTTTAACTTCTCCGTGTCCCTAAATAAAAGAGACAGACGATCATGCTGCAGCCGCCGTCACTGACCCCGCCCCCTCCCCAACACCGGATCTCTCTACATTACAACAAGCAGTCTGACTGAGCGCTTCCAGGAGAAATAATTAAATTATGAAAATAATAACGCGTGTTTGGAGCATCGGTTTGGAGGAGCGTCCTCCGATCGTCCCGCTTGTGTGAGCAGACAGTGTCTCTCTCTCTCTCTCTCGGTCGCTGATCGAGCGAGCGGAGCGCGCCGCACGACGACCCGCTCAATTAACATAATTCACGGCCCAAATCCAACAGAACCGGTCGGGCTGATTCGGCTCCGGTTTGGTCTTGGGTGACAACTCTAGCGCTCAGCCCTGCAGAACCACATTAAGGCAGAGGTAAATGTGGAGGACGCTCACTCTGACAGATTTGGTTGCAGCGCTGGTGCCGCGTTAAAAAAACAAAACTACATTCCACTATAATCGATTATGGCGTACTCTTCTACGATGCAGAATCGTTTATGTCCGCATCCCGATGCATCGATTATTTGATTATTTTCCTCAGCTCTATGATTAGGACTGCACAATAAATCGAAAAATCATCGTCATCGCGATAACAGGACGTGCGATAGGCCCATCGCAAAGCACGTCAAAAACAGCGATAAATTAAGCACTGTTATTGAATATCGCAGGTTTTCCTAATATCGTGCAGCCCTAGTTGTAATACTGTATTTGTGTTGATTACTTAATTCATTTAAAAAAATCCTATGTTTACCTTTTGGAAAATTAAAAATTCTAATAAAGCTTTACTTTTCATTTTAGTTTATTTAATTTATGTCATTTTTATCTGAATGATCATAAAATGAAACGTATTTTAGAAATTGAACCTTCAGTTTGTACAATTTACTTTCACGTCGTGCTCATTTATAGCCTGAACAAATGTTTGTGTTGGATGAGATTTGAGAGGTTAAAGTGCACTTGTTGCATCACATTGTGACGAGTTCATCTTTTTAAAAAATCCACTTTTTATTTTAAAACAATTTATTCATTTGCGTTTTGTTGTTGTTAAGTGAGCGAGCTTAATGACCACAGAATAAACTGAACTTTTCTCTATTTGTTGGCAAATGTAAGTAATGAAGAGTATTTTTTTATCACTAATGACCGCACACTGAACGGGATTTAACCACGAACAAAAAACTAATTAAAAATCCTGTTATTGTTTTTTAGGAATTCTGCCACAAATGAAACCAGGAAGGTATTCATAGCTTATTTTCAATTTCAGGAAGAGGTTGTACATGGAAGTGTTTGAGTACACCCGACCCATGATGCACCCTGAGGCGGGAAAGTTCTACCAGATAAATCCAGAAGAGTACGAGCAGCCAAACCCGTGGAAGGAGAGTTTTCAACAACTGGTAAGGAAGTCTTAAAGCAATTTCATTCACACAGTCGCGTGCTCTGTCCTGCAGCGCTCCTCCGTGTGTGTGTGTGTGTGGGGGGGGGGGGGGGGGGGGGGGGGGGGTTGCACACGTTCTGCTGCTGTTTCTCACCGGTATCAGCTGATGGAGGGCTCTAGTTTCGTTGCGCCGTTTGTGTCAGCGGACGGGGAGGGGGGCGGGCCATGTCGCTTAGCCTAGCGGGTGGCCAAGCAAAGCCTGGCGGGCCGCCAGGCTTATAAAGCGCTGGGGGAAACCCTGAGATGAGTACCTGCCTTGGAGTGTGTACTCAGACGTGGCTCAGTAGAGTTGCTGGGCGGGATTGGTGCTTAACTCATGCTGACGAGTTTAACTGGGTGGAAAATTACATCAGCAGATGTCGCCAAACAACCGATATTTGTGAAATTAGAAGTTTCTGGTGAAGCAGAATAGGAAGAAAATAAAATAAAAAGTGATCATGCTGTTTCCAAACATCCGATGCTGAAAACTGTGGTGAAATCCCTCCACAACACCATTATTTACAGCACTTTGGGTCTCCTACAGAGCGCAGTAAAAAGTGTTAATTTTGGTCATTGAACACCATTTTTCCCATCCGTGGAACGGTGTGAAACACAGCGTACTTTGACAGAAAAAAACTGTTATGTTATTATTTATGACTGCGGGTGCGTTTTGGCGCTGACTAGTGATGTCACTCACTGCTGAAACGGTTGCGATCTGTTGATGTCTTGGCAAAGGCCTGCTGAGGACTGTAAAATGAACCCTTTATGATCCAAAGTTGCATAATTGAGTTAAACGAGTCACGGCTGCAAATATAATCCCTCATGAAGTTATAACTTTACACCAGAAGATGCTGGAGATGTGTAACTCCAATCCGAGCAACACTTTGGGTGTTTCTGTTGACATTTTCAGTGTTTATAGTTTAAAAATGGCTCCCCATCAGGAGGCTCCTGACTGAGAAGAGGAGACGAGCACAGAGAGGGCGAATATTTTTTATATATTAGAGAGCAGACACTTACAATGCTGACAGGTCTGTTCATTGTTGACAAAGCTCTTTGTTTGATAATGGCTGACTCTGATTCTGAGTAATGTTCACCCTCTGATGATCTCGTCCAGTGAGGAAAGTGACGCTGCAGCTGCGTGCAGCAACAGAGTGTGTGCTTCATGAGTGTAAACACGCTTCACACACATGATCCAAAGCTTATTTCACCGCGCTCAGGACATGGTGGGTGTAGAAAGGATTGTAAAAACACCGCAAATTCTGACAAATGTAGAGGAAATTTACAAGAAGAAAAAAGCCGGGTAGACGCGGTAGACGTGAAAGTGAACGTAATAAAACATCATTACGAAAAGGGGAAAACTTAACTTTTGTATCAGACTGTACTATTTTTGTTAAGCAAAGAGCAAGATGCACATGAGGGCGGAGTGAGATGAACCGAAAACGGAGTTACCCGACGGCCTGTTTCAGCCGTGTTGTTTTGGTGTTTGGGCCGAAAACCGAGAATGCACTTTTGGGTCATTTTGGTGCATCCTTTTTTCTCTGAGAACATAGTTTCATTTGCTGACGTGAAACCGTCCACATAGAGGAAACAACCATGTGATTGATGTGTTTGTTTTATTTACAGTATAAAGGTGCCCACGTGAAGCCAGGTTTTGCTGAGCACTTCTACAGTAATCCTGCCAGGTACAAGGGGAGAGATAACATGTTTGTAAGTAAACCTCCCTTCATTTGAATAGTTTTGGCTTTATTATGGAATTTCTTCCTTTATTCACCCAGTTCGTGTTTTCTTTAGTACTATGACACCATTGAGGATGCTCTTGGAGGGGGTCAGGAGCCTCACTTTGACGGATTAATATTTGTCCACTCGGGTATCTACACAGATGAATGGATCTATATTGAATCACCGATCACAATGATCGGAGCTGGTAAGTGGGCCAGTATTTAAATTGTTTCTGTACTTGTTTAGCTTTGGTACTTAACAGCTACGGTGATCTCTTTGTAGCTCCTGGTAAAGTTGCAGAGAAGATTATTATTGAAAACACCCGAGACTCTACGTTTGTGTTCATGGAAGGCTCAGAAGATGCATATGTTGGATTCATGACCATCAGGGTGAGAAGGCCTATTCCCCCCATCATTAGAGGGAGCTTTCTTTCTTACCTCAGCGAATGGCTTAATGAGTGCCGCTTTTGTTTTAGTTCAATCCTGATGATAAATCTGCACAGCACCATAATGCACACCACTGTTTGGAGATCACAGTCAACTGCAGCCCCATCATTGACCACTGCATCATCCGCAGCACGTGTACTGGTAAGTCTACCTCCCTGCCTTCAGGTGGCCTTTTTTGCTTGTATTGACATGGCGTTGTATCAGGTTTTCCCTTTCCTTGTTGCAGTGGGGTCAGCCGTGTGTGTCAGTGGACAGGGTGCATGTCCCACCATCAAGCACTGCAACATCAGTGACTGTGAGAATGTTGGTCTTTACATCACTGACCATGCACAGGTAAGAAGCCCTTCATCAAATAAACACAAGAATGGGACAGCGTCTGCATTTTCAATCATTAGGAGTTCTTAAAGAAGTTTATTAAAGGAGTTCTAGAACAACTTTGTTTTACAGTTGGAAACTTATCTTTGAGCTTCTATATGAACTTTGTTAGGGCTCAAAATGGACCAGGAGCCCTGATAAATGGACAAACACACCCCATAATAAAGCCCTTCAATGGATAGACTGGTGTGCCCTACCCACTTGGTCGGGATATGTAGCTTAAATAAGCTGCGTGCTGATTGGCTGGTTTACCCCGATGGCTCTATGATGCTGCCTGAAACTTGAAATTCTAGTTATCTAGATAACTCACTAGCCAGGCTGTGGATCTACATCCTGGAACATTACATGTGTGCTCCAACATTCTCATTTATTGTTTTCCTGTCATCCAACAGGGTCGATAGCAGTAGTCCATGCCAGCGTTAGTTTTAGCTCGGGCTAGTGTTGTCCTGCAGTTAGCAATGGGCTGGGTCAAACGTGGTGTGTCTAAGCTTATGATGTGTTAAACCAGCTTTTCTCAAAACCATCAATTCATGGCAATTAGAAAAACACCAAAAGCAGGTTGGAGATGACAGACTTTTCGGTGTGGTACATTTGACATCCCAAACTGCCTATATTCAACAACACGATAATTTTGGTTTTGTATTCTAGAACCCCTTCAATAGTATGGGTTAGTTAATAAAGCATGTTTAACATGTCTGGGCTGCATGGTGGCGCAGTGGTTAGCACTGTTGCCTCGCAGCACGAAGGTTGCAGGTTCGAAACTCGTCTGCGGCCTTTCTGCGTGGATTTGCGTGTTCTCCCCATGCATGCGTGGGTTTCCTCCGGGTACTCCGGTTTCCCCCACAGATCACATCATGCCCTATAGGTTATAAATTGTAAGTCGCTTTGGATAAAAGCGTCTCCTAAATGAATAAACATAAACATGTCTGTTTGACATGAAGTGTAAATTAATGCTTTACCTTTTTTCCAACGTTTCTCTGTAGGGCATTTATGAAGACAATGAGATCTCAAACAATGCTCTGGCTGGGATCTGGGTGAAGAACCACGGCAATCCCATCATCAGACGGAATCACATCCACCACGGCAGAGATGTAGGGGTTTTCACGTTTGATCACGGCATGGTAAGAGTCAGCTCACTGTTGTAAAACAACCTTTCTGGCCAAAAAGTCAATTTTTTTCCTGACAGTTAAAAAAAAAAAAATAATAATAATATATATTTGTGTCATTTTGTATCCTCCCATTCATTCCTAGGGCTACTTTGAAAGTTGCAACATCCATAGGAATCGAATAGCCGGCTTTGAGGTGAAGGCTTATGCCAACCCCACAGTTGTTCGATGTGAAATCCATCACGGTCAGACCGGGGGCATCTATGTCCACGAAAAGGGACGTGGACAGTTCATTGAAAACAAGATCTATGCAAATAACTTTGCAGGTGTGTGGATCACCTCCAACAGCGACCCCACAATAAGGTCAGTGAGACAAAATAAATGTCCGACAATCCAAGACTGACCTTTGTTTAGATTTTTTTTGTGATATTTTTGTGCCAACACAGGGGTAATGCCATTTTTAATGGCAACCAAGGCGGCGTTTATATTTTTGGTGATGGCCGAGGCCTCATTGAAGGAAATGACATTTACGGTAACGCCCTGGCTGGAATCCAGATCAGGACTAATAGCTGCCCTATTGTCAGGCACAACAAGATCCACGATGGCCAACATGGTGGCATTTATGTGGTAACTTATTCCTAACATACTTTCCCATCACATTCATCTGACCAGATTCTTCATGCAGCTGTCTGGAATCACTTGATTGAAATGTCTGTTTTTGTATCATTTAGCATGAAAAGGGACAAGGAGTGATCGAGGAGAACGAGGTTTACAGCAACACTCTAGCAGGAGTGTGGGTGACGACGGGCAGTACGCCAGTCCTGAGGAGGAACAGGATACACAGCGGGAAGCAGGTAAGTGTTGAGCTACTTCCTCCTAATGTTTAGAAACAAATGGGAGTGCAGAATCACTCGAATACATGCTGAAACTTCAGAATTTTGTACCAATTTTTGTGTTATGAAGTCATAGGAAAAATGCAGATGTCCTATAATGGTATTTCTATTGTTAATGTCATTTTTCAACAAATAAATAATCACAAAATGTACTTTCTTTATCAGGTTGGGGTCTACTTTTATGACAATGGCCATGGAGTGCTGGAGGACAATGATATCTACAATCATATGTACTCCGGGGTCCAGATAAGGTTTGTGGAACAAAGTCATTCATGTAAAAGAACATTTGAACAGGGTGTCCTAAAGCGTGTTGAGGCTCACCAGTCCTTCATTTGTCCACAGGACCGGCAGCAACCCCAAGATCAGACGGAACAAGATCTGGGGGGGGCAGAATGGGGGCATTTTGGTTTACAACTCAGGTGAGGAGTGGGCCTTTGTTCTACTGGACAGCTTTAGAACAGCACATTTACTGTTTGATCAATTCTGATTGACGCAATTTCCATTTTGTTCAGGCTTAGGATTCATTGAGGACAACGAGATCTTTGATAATGCAATGGCAGGAGTTTGGATCAAGACAGACAGCAACCCCACCCTCAGGAGGAACAAAATCCATGATGGGAGAGATGGTGGGATCTGTATATTCAATGGAGGAAGAGGTAGCTTCCCAGTTGTTCTGTAATACACCGAATACTTATCACAACTTGTTTTGTAATCCGTATCAAATGCCGGTGTGAATTGATTGGTTTATGTCATGATGTTCACGTGTGATGTTGCTCAGTCTAGATTTCCATGGTAATGTTTTTGTTTTTTGTGTCATTAGGTTTGCTAGAAGAGAACGACATCTTTAGAAATGCTCAAGCGGGTGTTCTCATTAGCACCAACAGTCACCCCGTACTGAGGAAAAACAGGATATTTGACGGATTTGCTGCTGGTGGGTGACACCTGCACGACAAGCTGCAGCCAGTTGTTACCTAAACATATTAGCAGATGTGCAGAATAAAGTTTAAACAAAGATCTCACTAATGAGTTCTCTTTTCTTCTTAACTTAAGGTATTGAGATCACCAACCACGCTACAGCGACCTTAGAAGGCAACCAGATCTTCAACAATCGTTTTGGGGGGTTATTTCTTGCGTCTGGAGTCAATGTTTCAATGAAAGGTTCCATCTTTGCTAAACTTTTACAATAATTATCTGGTGACTCCTGATTTTTCTGCAAACGTGTTAAAAGTTACAAATTCTGCCACATATCCCTCAGATAATAAGATACTGAACAATCAAGATGCCATTGAAAAGGCTGTGAGCAGAGGTCAGTGCCTGTACAAGATTTCCAGTTACACCAGTTACCCAATGCACGATTTCTACAGGTAATTTATTTATAATCGTAATCATGCTAACTAAAATAATTCATTGTGGTTGTTTTTCCTTTTTTTTTTTTTTTATTAATGAATTCTGGGTTCACACAGGTGTCACACCTGTAACACGACAGACCGCAACGCCATTTGTGTGAACTGTATCAAGAAGTGTCACCAAGGACACGACGTGGAGTTCATCAGACATGATAGGTTAGTAGATTTAAAGGATGTTATGATCTGTGTTCAGACTGCTCTGATTTCACTCATTTATCTGAAAAATGCGTTAAATTCATAAAAACTAGTTGCAGATTTTTAAAATTCTGAACATTTTATAAGCTAAAGCAGATGTTACACAAAATTAACCGTAGGGTGTGATGCACCCATCCTTGAGAGTGGCGTCTCAAAACAAAAATTCAGGTAAAATGCATTTCTATTCAAACTCATGAATACTCCTGATATGGGAGCCTTTCCTCTGATTGGTTAACAGTAATGCGACTCTTCCATCCCCTTTGTTTGCTCGTCTTTTTTAAGTTAAAAATGTAACGTTGATGTTTTATCTCCATATAGGGCTGGGCAATATGGACGAAAACTTATATCTCGATATTTTTTGCTGAGTTCCGATAGACGATATATATCTCAATATTTTTCCTCCTGTAAAGTATTTACAAGTTAACTCACTTCAAGCTGTCTTAAGAAATTATAAACATAAATCAGTAGATTAAATGCATACAAATGTATTGATTCTTGTCTAACTTTAACCTTAGTGCCTATTCTCTACCAGTCTGAGCTTTAGAAACACTGGTAAAGCCGTCTGCTAACACAGACACAGTTGAGAGCTAGAGGTGTATCAAATGTCTCACAGGCACTTTTTAATTATATATTTATAATTCATGTAAAATTAATTAAATTTCATCTAGAGGTGGCCCCATATCGTTGATTTCTTGTCCAGAGAACATAAATCTATCACGATAAGCTAAATTTATGATGATGTAATTACATCTACTGAAGATCACATGGGTCATGCACCGTGGAGTTATTAGTTGGGCAAACATGGCTGGAGTCTAACAGTATTGGCTCATATCAGCGATTATACTGTAATGACTCAGTCTCTGGTTGCGCATTCATGAGTGTTTTTTTCGGGCTGCTATCGCCATAACCCACGCCTTACAAACTCTTAACTTTTTCAACAGAATCGCTCGTAACCAAGTATTTACTAGCATAGAAAACCAGAGCGGAAAAAACGGAACCGGAACAACATTTCTCACCCGCTGAGCTTGCTTTCAAAATAAAACGTTAACCCTATAGTTTACTATTCAAACCCTTACAATACGTTTGGCCTCTCCGGCTATCCGTAGATGTTTCCCATTGGGAGTGGTTTGACTCGTCTCTCCGCACAAGCAGGATGGAAAAACTGAACTCCATTGGTGTTGAAAGTCCCCAAATAATTAAAAACCAGGACGCCAAATGCAAATTTAAGATCAGCACATTTACCCAGAGGCTCTCAGATTGAGCAAACTTGTGAGAATACACATGACCGCTTAGAGACGGAGCAACGTGTCGCTAGCATAGCGGCTAATCACTAGCATAGCAATTTGACCCATTATATTGATATAGTCACCTTGTATCTTGTTTAAAATTATAATATATTTTAAAAATATCGATGTATCCCCTAGCCCTATCTCCATATAACAAGCCTAAATGTGTTCTGTCATGTTGTGGAATTGCTAATGCTAACTGTTAGCTTCTACTAGCTGAGACATGCTCTGCTCTCTCCTGGCTCTAAAATCAATATTTCCCTCCCTTAACTAAGTTGGGCAAGACCATGAATATAAAAATGTCCCTGTGAGGTAGAAGAGACTTGTGCTTTCTGACACAACTGTTGGTCATCAATATCCTCTCTGCTGCTAATGCAGGCGACGGGGGTTGAGCATTTTCACGTTCAGAATGTGTGTACTGAACATGAAAATTTGTGTCCAGTCATATTTCAAAAAGGGAAACAACTAAAACATGCTGAATAGCGGCACTCTGAGACCCAAATGGCCAATCCCTGCAATAGTGGAAACGAGCCTAGTTACCAGGTTTTGTTTAGTCTGATGTGAATAGCTGACACGAGGCTATGAAAACCTATAACTCGACAATCTTAACTGCTTTTTGAAATAATTTATTCAATCATGCTAATTTTGTCTTTCCTATCCAGATTTTTCTGCGACTGTGGTGCAGGGACGTTGTCCAACCCATGCACGTTAGCTGGAGAGCCGACGCACGACACGGACACGCTGTACGACTCGGCTCCTCCTATAGAGTCCAACACGCTGCAACATAACTGAGCTCAAGCTCTAAGGCCCTCTGTGCTGCAGAAGGAGTAAAACAAGACACTTTCAGTTGTGCAGCAGAGGAGGAAATCCAGACTAAGATTCTCTGACTGTGAGCATATGCAGCAACTTAAAAAAAGACAGATATGCTAATAAGAGACATTTTTTTAAAGTGATAAAAGTGGACACCTCACTTTTCTTTTTATTTGGGGGGAAAATGACGTTGGTGGGCCAGAGCAGGAGAGCATTTGACTCGGGGGTTTGTGTGGGTTGAGTTGGTTCACTGAGGTGATAATGGCGAAAATGGACTTAAAAGAAAAAACCCAACCGAAGCTCGTCTTTAAAGAAGCGCAAGAACAAGATACTGCAGTCATGTACAGATCCAGTGTGGACACTTACCCAGAGGCAGCTCAACTGTTCTCGTTAAGAGGAAAAAAAAGCCCCAAATACAACGATGCTTCCATCAGTGAGCAGCCGACGTGCTTGAATGATGCGTACGGGGAAAATGACCTAGCACTTAAGCTTTTTTTTTTGTGTTCGTTTTTCCTCAAGAAAACTGTTGAGATTTGATTTTAATGCTTTTTTGTGTAGTTTTGTATTTCCATGCAAAAATCTTACTGTACTTGAATGTCTATTTTATTAAATGTGTTCAGTTGTTTTTGGTTATTCCCCAGAATTGCTGTAATTATACTCACGTCGCAGTATCTAACTTCTTTCTGTGAAAGAGACCAGAGAAAAGAGGAAAACACTAAACATTTTCTCCAGCAATGTTGACTTATCTTTTTGCAATATAGGAAATAGATGCTGAAATGTGCTTTTACAAGACTTGTTCAAAACAAAGGTTTCAGTTATTTTATTCTTTTTTTTACTTATTCTATGCACATTGTTTACGTCTTCATGTTGGTTTGTCATGAAGCATCGGACTTGTGTAGGCATTAAAGGGAAGTTGCACAACTGAACATTTTTTTTTTAATTTGACCAGATTTTAAGTTGAAACACACAATGTAACGGGTTTCACTATTGAAGTATAAAATAGCGGGACGCATTATCTGATGGGAAACGAGTCTTATTAATGGTTTACACCTGGTCCTGTTTTAGTTAAATGTTAACAAATGTTTGCTTAACGAGCAAAAATGCTTATTTTCTGATGCCAGAAGTGATTCACAAAATAAAGGCAAAGTCTTGTGAAAGCATAACTCCTTTATTTTATTTCTGTTAATGTTGCTGGAGAAATTAACAGCTTTTACTCAACGGAAGCTGAGACAAGTGTGTGTATACAGCGCTTTATGGTTTCATCGCCCCCCTCCCCCATCCATGTGTACTGGTGATTGTGGGTCCTCATACAGACTGAAATGTATGCATGTATCATAACATCTAGACTTAATATATTGTGAAGTATTCAATAACCGTTATGTAGGCGCTAGAGTGAATTAAAAGGGTTTAATTTCCTAGATGAAACATTGTCATTTTTTTAAAATAAACTTTATTAGATCATTTCAGTAGTGTTTTGTCCAGGTGCTTCACAAACAGAACAAACTAACAGTGGGGGCTGTTTTTATATTACATGGTGTTGAGCAGGTGAACAAGTGGAGTGAAGTGTTTGGTGTCCAGAGCAGGGTCGTCGGCAAACTGACAGAGCTTCCTGTAAAAGATCAAAAGTCGTAAGAACATTTACTGATGCCAACCTTCCGGGGTATGAAACCAATATCAGAACGTACTTGAACAGTCTGAGGCTGATTGTGTTTTTCTCAAACTCTCTAGCTTTCCTGTGTCCGGATTGGATGACCTCCTCTGGCAGGTTTGCGAGCCGAGCTGCATTGAATCCGTAGCTCTTAGGACAGGCGCCGCTGATGAACTTGTAGAGGAACGTGATCGTCTCCTGACTCGGGTCCTCACACTCATTCTCCACCATGCAGGCCTGAAAGTGGGAATGAAAACACGTGAGAAGCTCAGACCCAAACTGGACAAGCGGGCCAGTCGTCCTTTCATTATTGAATTGAAAACTAAAAATGAAAAGGTATTTTTTTAAACAGATTATTTTCTGTTTCAATCTTGGCTCAGAAAAAAAAAAATGGAAAAATGACTCGAGGACCAAATTAGATTTTAACATTTCATGGGGCGTAGTTTACGTGGGACAGGTGTGTCAATCCAGTTTCCCTCGACATGCATCCCTAAGTCCAGAGCACGCAGCAGCAGAAACTCCCATAGTCATGTAGCGGTAGCAAATGGATTACCAAGTAATTATACACACTTCGTTTTGATTCAGAAAAGAGTCAGGTTTATAAAAGTACGAAATTATTTTATTACAATTATAAAAAGTGAATTAAGCATTTTCTGTGATTGGATGAAGGCTAAATGTGTGTATGTGTCAATGTGATGTTGGTCAGAACTTCCGAATCTCGGAAAGCGGCGTCTCCGGATGAAAAGGAATTTGGTTTGCGCTAGACTATGAAGTTATCTTTCATAAACACATCAGACACAATCTGTCATGTCTACTTCACCCGTTTTGAGAGACCCTCTTGGTGGATCCGAAAGTCGCAGGGGTCGGCTGACCGCTGGCACCGGAGGGCTGTAGAATACTGTGGTACCGACTCTTCAGTCCAGAGATGTCTCGGGTCACGACAGCTGGATGGAACCGTGCGTCTGGAGGACTCTTAAGGAGTCTAATAATTATATCAGCTTTGTTCTGCAGGAACTGTTCTGCTGTCTCAGCTTTGTAGGTGCAAAAAGGTTTTGACGACGTGTCAAAACCTTTGATGGTTAAAGAGGTTGCGACAGGTGGTCGGTCTGAAGCTTTCTCTAGAACTAACGAGTCACTCATGATCCAGTTTTAAGGTTTCGATGTGATTTGCACAGCCAATCAGAGGCTGACAGCTTGGGAGACGTTACCAAATCAACTCAGAAACACACCTTCTCTGACACCGGATGTTCTGACTGGTTAAAAGGGCAAGTTATGTGTTGGAGTTTAACTTAACCGTACTTGTTATTGTGTGAGTGCAGGTGTGAGGACCTCGTCGTCAAAACATGTGGAACACATGGCAGGTTCTAGTAGACTAACATAACATAACATCCATTCAGTGTGCACAGATTAATGAAGCATTTCATTATACTATAATTATTATAAGTAGTGATAAACAAATGTTTATTTAAAGATTATCTAGATTATAATTCATGGAAGAAGTTTATATTGATTTAGGAGATCATTCTTGAATTTAGCAACTGATTCGAGCTGGAGTTGTTTCTTCTGTGGAGGCAGACAGATGGGACCTTAGGAAAGAAAGTTATTGTTTATCTTTCAGAGCTGCAGAGTCTGTGAGCCCCAGCTGGTATGAAGGCCGGCTCATTTAAAGGGAACTCACGCAGTGTTGTGTCTCCTTTCTGACCAGATGTTGAAAGGTCAGACTGTACCTAAACTGACCATTGCTGGACGTTACAGTCACCATCACACACTGGTTAAATTAATCTCTGCATTTGACATCCCCATGGAGGGGAGCGATGAGCTGCAGCAGTGGCTGTGCTCGGGAACCATTTGGTGGTTTAACCCCCCAATCCAACCTCTAAAGCTGGGTGTCAAGCAGGGAGGCATTGGGTCCCATTTTTAATGTATTTGGTATGACCCGACCAGGAATCTAACCCCAATCTCCCCGTTCTGAGCACGGATCCAATCAATCGTGCCTTGATTTGATCCAATTAGCTATCGTCTCTATCCTCCAGTGTGGATGTGAGCAGAAAATGATCATTCATTGATTTCACGTCGTTTTGCACGGGAATTTCGGCAAGCTGAGCATGTTTCTCAAATATGTCTGAGTAAACTTAATTTATATAAACCTTAATGCTCAAAATAAAACAGCTGTTTGTTGTATTACAACTATTAGCCCTGACTGTTGATCATACGGACAAAAAACCAACACCTTTACTACGCAGGCACGACCTCAGTCTACAGAAACCAGACACGTGAAGTATTAAAATCAAATTCGGTCCTCTGGCCTGTTTTTCCAGTTCGTCATTTTGACCGGACTTAAATTGAAAGGATAAAAATCTTCGTTTTAAGTTTTCAATTGAAAAACAACAAATGACACGCAGACAAGAACCCAAATGTGATGGATTAGCTACACGTTTTACGAGCTGAACGGTTTGAGCAAAGGCATTGTGAGCTCTAAGACGAGCTACAACGAGGACGAATAAAGCAGCAGGTGGTTGGCAGATTCCGACCTGCCACATTTCAGGCAGACGGGAAGCAGCTGGGCTGTGATCTAGATGTGGTCACCAACAGCTACCATCATCTGAACAAAGATCCTTAAAGTTAAAGCGTTCACTCTTTTCACATTTCATGATAGAATGAAAATCTTTTAAAAATTAAACAAAGTTTCTCATAAACAAGTCTCTCTTTGTTGGAAGACATTTTCCTGTGTGTGACTCAGTATTCGTAACCACTCACCATGTGGCCTAAGCGCACAGCGGGATTGTTGGCGTAGTCCTCCACCAGGGAGTGGTAATGCGTAGAGAAAAGTGTGCGGCAGCAGATCTTCTCAGCGAGCTCCTTCACAACGGCGCTGGCTATCGCGGTGCCGTCGTATGTGGCCGTGCCCCTTCCTGCAACATTTCACAGCTAAATGATCACGATGTAAACAGAGTGGCTGCTAAACGGTGAAGAGAAGACCGTCCACGATGTCAGTCCAAAGTGAAACTAAAGACCTACCTAATTCATCAAGGAGCACAAGTGAGTGCTTGGTGGCGTGGTGCAAGATGCTGGCAGTCTCGCTCAACTCCACGAAGAAGGTGCTCTCTCCTACAGGAGCAACAGTACGAACTTGGGTTATACAGCGTCAGCTAGGACTGTTATTACAGAGGACTCTTCCTGCCACAATGACCAATAAACAAACTAATGAGGGTATAAAATTGAGAGTAAATGAAGGAATAAATGATTAATTATTTGAGAAAATATTGAAAATAAATTAATAAATGTTGAAATAAAATAGAACAAAAACAAACTTTTGGAAATAAATATTTTAATATATGAGGACATAAATAAAAAATTTAACAATTTTGGACTTAAATAAATTGAGAACTAAATAACTACATTTATGAGGAGATATAATTGGAAAAATATATAACTATTAACTCATTCGCTGCCAGTGTTTCTCACCATTTTATTGGTTTTATTAAGAGTCACAGAACGTTGCGCACTAGGATGATGTCGACCCCAAAACAACCAAAACAAAGAGGAGACTCACCTCTTACATCAGGAAGAATCCACACGTTTCAAGCGATATCCTTTCTTTCATAATCCGTTGTTGAATTGTGATGGCAGAAGCTTTTCCGGTTCGCGCCTCACTTTTTTTACAGCAGCGGCCCTAAATGATCTCCTAACACATGGATTTTCTGCTTCCTGATCACGTGACGTGTGACGTATGCGGATGAAGATCGGCTTTAGAGCTGAGATGGTTGTTCTCACAGTGCGGGAGCTCGTTCCGATGCTCACACAGTAAAAACATGGTTGTCACGGTGTGAAAATTTAACCTCACGGTTATTGCAACCAAAATTACCACGGTTTTCGGTATTTTTGCGGTATTTTTTTTAAACGTGTTACATTTTCAGACAACTAAATAAACCCTGTATGTCAGGAAAATATTGTCCTCAGTTTGTGTCTAAAATTTGCCTAAAATGTGTTATTTTGTAATTTTGTTGTTTATTTGTTTACATTTTCCCCTTTAGCCTTTAAAATACCAATATTTGCCCATAACTTCTTATTTTTTGTCTGTTTGATGTCATCATTTTAAAAATATTAGATCAGATGATACTCAGTACTCAAGTAGCCTTCTAATCAGATACTTTTTTACCCTTAATTGAGTAATTAACCCTATATCAGGAAAATATTGTCCTCGGTTTGTGTCCTTCCAGTGAGCTTTGCAGATGTGGGAAAATGTCATCAGGCAGTAATCATTGTTAAATTCATAATTATTCTCGGAGAGAGACCAACTCTTATCTGCCCCTGGGAGCCCCGTAATGCATAGCGTCATTTCAACATGGGTGTGTCCGTGACACGGTTTATATGCAGGTAGCGGCGCTGCGGCTGCTTTATATAGCAACTCGTTGCATTCTCCCTCAACCCAAATCCTCGGATCACGCATTTTAGCTAAAACGCTAACGTTAGCTTGCCTTGCGTTGACTGTAGAGTTGTGGGTGATGGTCACGCAGATGTGTCATGAGATTTGAGGCGTTGCTGCCTTTCACAGACACTTTTTCTGCACGTGCTGCAAACAGGATAGCCGTCTTCTATCAACTGTCCCTCGGCATTCTTCAAATATCCAAAACATACCCGTACTTCCCACTTTGTCTTCTTTGAGGGATAATAAATGTCCTGAGCGCTGCCGTCTCCTCCTTTGGCCATTATTTCAGCTTTAGCTTCAAGAAAGTTTTGGTTGTAAACAACAAAGCGCGCATGTGCCGCCGGAAACTTCAGCAGATAATACGGTGGCTGGTAAGGGTCACCGCGCCTACACCGCAGCCATGGTAATCCACCGAGATAATATCGTTTTTAAAAAACAAGACGGTTATTATTATTGTCAACTTTTTTACCGGGGTTTACCGCTACACCGGTTACCGTGACAACCCCAGTCGTCATTGGCAGTGAATGAGTCAAGTCTGGAAACTAATATAATTTTATATATTAGGAAATCATTTGGAAAACATTAATACATAAATATAGAAACAAATAAACTTCTTTTTAATTTATTTCAGCAATTAGTTATTCTAAGTTTTGTTTCCTTTACTTATATTTACACTTTTATTTCTTCTTTAATTAACCAGGTAATTAACTATTTTGGCAGGAAGCATCCTTCATACATTATATCCCATGTGTGGTAAAGATATTTATGAACCTACCTGCCATGATCCGATCCGAGGCGCCCAGCCGAGTGAAAACCCGGTCAACCGGTGTGAAGCGAAGGCTCTCAGCTGGGACATAGCAGCCCAGCTGAGCCAATATAATCACAAGTCCACACTGATAAAAAAAAAAGAAACAGAGCAGCATAAATATGAGCCAAAACAAATTTTTTAAATTAGTCTATGAAAAAAGAAAAGAAAAAGCTCACCTGTCGCATGAGGGTTGACTTCCCACCCATGTTTGGGCCTGTGACTAGAACACACGAGGCACAACCTTCCACCTCATCATTTTCACTGATCCCAGGACAGCCTATGAAGATGTCATTGGGAATGAAGTCGTCGCCAAAAAAGGTCTTTGTGACGCAGGGGTGACGGGATCCGGTAAGATTAATGAAGGGCGTGGCCTGCTCGTCCTCTGGAAGCAGCACCTGCGGCCTGGACATCGCACCGTCTCCGCCCTGACTGTAGCGTGACAAAGCTAGCAGCACATCTGGAAAAAAAAAAAAAGAATGAACAATTTAACAATACCCCTTTCAGTGTCATCTAATGTAAGTAAACTACGCTCGACACCATAAAAAATGTCCTTACCGAGCACTGCCATGCACTCCACACCCGTCTTCCAGTCTCTGTAGTTCTTGTCAAAGTTGTAGAAGAGCCTCCTCATGCAGTCTTTCACTGCAGCGTCTCTCTTCTCTTCCAACCCTTGCAGCTCTGAGAACAGCCGCTCACTCTCCTTTGTCACGTAACGCTTATAGCCTTTCTTTGTGGATCTGACATCATATTCCTCTGGGATGTTCCTCTCAGAAACGCTGTCAGGAACTTCCATCTGAAAGCGATTTCGCCCAGTTCCCCAGTAGACCATGGTCTTACAGCCAATTCTCTTCTTCTGTCTGTCCAGGTACTCCTGCAGCTCTCGCTCGCAGCTTTTGATTCCAGTGAGGGCCTGGTCATACTCGGGGTCAAATCCAGATTTAGGGGTTATGACACCGGTACTGCGAGCCTTCTCGTGGTTGAAAGCGGTCTCCCAGCGCTTGAGTTCTGCGGAGAGGTCAGGAAAGAGGCCGTCTTTTTCGGTCTTCAGGCTGACAACTTGACGAAGCAACTTAGAACGAAATTCTCCCAAAACTGAGGTTAGGACGGAAATAATCTCCTGCATGGTTTTGAAACCCTCCAAAGCTGAGAGGAAGTCTGCAATTTTGCGTTTGCTGTAAGTGACTTCCTCATAGAGAACTGCTCTGCTGTCAGGGTGGTCCTGGCCCTTCAGAGGAGTACCGATGCTGTGGATTTTACTCAGTAGACGCTCAAGATCTGGAAGCTTCTTCAGCAGGTCTGAGACTTCAGTTGCTTGAGCTTGAGCTCCTATCAGGTCCTCCACGGCATCCAGTCTGTCCCTGATGGATGTGGGGTTACACAGGGGCGCACAGAGCCACTGCTTTAGGAGCCTCTTGCCGAACGGTGTAGAGCATGTGTCCAGACGCTCCAACAGTGTCCCCTCTGTTCCTCCGGACCCGTTCTGAAAGATCTCCAAGTTTGCCAGAGTCACGCCATCGAGAACCATACGCTGACGAGTCTGAGCAAAAAAACTGGCAGGTCCAGAAGCTTTCTCCATTTCTACATCAACAGGGACATATTCTTCAAAGTTGGCCATAGAAAGCAGCTCTTTATCGACCAAGCACTTCTTAAGGTAGAATATGCAAGCGCCAAAAGCCGACAGCGCCAGTTCATAGCCCTCTTTAGGAGTTAAGCACAGAGAATCACTTTCAGACGTCATGAGCTTTAGGAGAGTGGGGAGAAAATTGGTCCCAGTGGCCCGCTCTTGTCCAGCGATCTCTTCAAAATAGTTCTCTTCTGAGAGGGTTTTCAGAGTTTTCTGAGCATCCCAGAACTGGGTTCCTGCATTGAGTCCTTCTTGCAAAGCCGAGGACAGAGATGCCTTGAGTATTTTGCGCGTTTCAACAGAGAGGTTGCCCCTTTCAAAGAGCACCTCAGCAGGGGAGTAGTGTGCAATCAGGGTGCGCAGACGTGAGCAGTGACGATCGTCGGAGAACTGACCGATATGGAAGTATCCCACAGATGTGTCCACAAAACAGACGCCGTAGACGCGGCACCGGCCAGAACATTCCTCTTCAGCCTTTTCTTTCAAACTCAGGAGGAACTTGCTTTGACTTTCTGAAGGAGCACCGTCCAACACACTGTAGGTCTGGGTCCCGCGTGTGATAATGCGGCACACTTCTCTCTTCACCACACGGTCAAATTTTGTGGGTTTGGCAATGGATTTGCAGCGTGCCTCCATCATCTCTGGGGTTTCTGTCTGCTCCACGCGAGCCACCTTGTAGCCTTTCTGGACCAACACGTCAGAAAAACGTGCAAAGCCAATCTCTGGAAAGCCAGAGTGTGCCCAGTTTCCTTTCATGAAGGTCAGGCCCAGCTCGTTGACCCCAATCACGGCGTCCATGTGGTAAAGCTCATAAAACTTCCCCACTTTGTAGAAAATCACCGTATCAAACATGCCGGATTTGAGCTGCCACCACCGACGCATTCCAGGTGTGTTTTTGTTAAGAAAGTCTTCAGGCACATACAGAGTAGAAGAATCATAGTCATCGTCTGTCTGCCGCCGCCTTTTACGGTCTTTCCTTTTGCCATCATGCAACCACTCTAGCTTCTCATGATCCCAAACTGTGACACCTCCAGTGGACCCGGGTTCACTCATCTGGCTCTCAAAGCTGTCGGGAGCGGAGAAAGACGACAAACGGGACTTTGTGTTGGCCGTCACTGCTGCTGGGGGCCTTTTAGGAGTGGAAACCACAACTGCAGGCTTCTTTTCTTTGGCACTGACAGACTTCCCTGCAGAACGTTTTCTTTTTAGAGGTTTGACGGGACTGTCTTCTTCAGACTCCTGGCTGCTCGCTTTCTGCTCTTCTTCACCACTCATGGTCCCCTCTTCTTCTTCATCCTCGCTGCACGATGCGGCATGTTCAGGTTTGAACTCCTCATCCGACTTGTCGCTGTCGGAGGCCACAATGATGCGACGCCGCTTGGCTTTGCTTCCTTTATCTGTTGAAGCACGAGATGAGCGTCGACTGACTTTTGGCTTTTCTTCTTCCTTTTTCGTTTCTTCTACGTCGCTGACCTCTTCATCGGTCTGTGTTGACTGGTCGAGCTGAAAATTAAAACCCAAAGTGGGCAGTAAGCCATAACTATTTTGTAGTTTTTATTTGACCTGATCACTGCTTTAAAAAACAGAGCAACATTTAAAAACAATGTAACCTAATTACCTCCATTTCTTCATCATCCCCTTCTTCATCAGATGGATCCATGCAGAGAGGCATTTTTAATCTTTTCTCAGGACTCTCAAAAATAATTTTATCAGCAAGCTCCATTGCACGGCGAATTACAGGCTTGCCACTGAAAAACACCCCTCCAGGCTTAACATCACTGCTGTCAGAGCCTTCAGAAGATACAAAGTAATATAACATAGCTTAATGTAAAGATAAAAGCACTAAATTACACTAAAATTCAGTAAACATCAGATTCTATGTCGTTCTAATGACAAGCAGCCAACCTTGGTACTCTCTGATATATTTGGTTCTGATCCATCCTCTGGTGGGAGGCTCATCAATGAAATGAACATGTATGCGCTGATCCTGACCACGGCCCCTCATCTGCTGGCCTGTCAGAGGTTGGGGAACAACCATGCACGGCCACCAAGGGTGTCCTTCTAGTTTGGCCCAGACAAGGGCACCAGCAGTGAATGGACAGGTTGAGCTGCTGAAGAAAAGTAAGCAAAATACTCTAGATTTTATACAATGTGAAATTAATTACACGAAAATCTTCAGGAATGATTAATATTACCATGTGTATTACATGCAATGTGACAAAAATCAAAGAAAAACATAATCTGGATTAAATCAATAAACAAGCTTAAAATAAGAGTATTGTGTGCTTTTGAGCTATATTTATCTAATAGAACAAAGTAGTTACTGATGTTTGTTTTTCTAAAACTATCATTTACAGCACACTGAACATAGAATATCAGAATTATGTAATTTTTAAGCATTAAAAGGACCATTTAAACATTTTAAGCTTTCACTGACTAGTTTAAAACAAGAGATGAACACATGATTGTATAAAAACTAAAATAACAACCTGGATGTGGAGGATGGCACAAGCGGTAACAACCTGAGCCTTCAGTTTAAATTATGTAGGTTTGCTGTATCAAGGTTATTTCACATATTTAGTTACGAACAACATCAATAGTTCCAATTTAACGTCCTGGCATTGGCCTCTTCAGTAAATTCCTGTTAATAATGTTGCAGTTTAACTGTAATCTAGATTATAATCTTTCAATTCGGTGTCAGGCTAAATGTCACACGTGTGGGAAACAGCTACGCTGCAAGTTATTAGCTGGTATTTAAGTTCAAATTAAGAAAACAAGCACGAATGCGTTTTTTCTTTAAGAAAAAAAAAAGCCTAATTATTTTCGTGAATTTGTAATGCTAACAGCAACTCACGATCAACTTTCCAGCAATTACACGGCTCCCAAACTAACCTGTCTTTAGCATCCGGGGCCTTACTGTCGCCAAACAGATTTTTAAATCCATTGCTCGCGGTCCTGGAGCTTGTTTTCTGTTTGACTTTTCTGGTTTTGGTGGAGTCCTGCTGCTGTGTCTGCTTAGCTTCCTCTTTAGGAGACGAGTTGGACCTCTCCACGGAGGAAGGCAGGTCTGCCTCGACAGGAGAAGGGCTCGGCTTCGGCTTGGTAACAGATGGCGGAGACTTGGTAAAAAACTTGAAAAGTGAGCTTTGCTTCGCCATGTTTGCAGATTTAACTTTTGCTTTAATTGAAACCTCTTAAAATGCTCTATCCTTTCGACGTCTCTTCTTTATAACCTAGCATCCAAGAGCTGGCTGACCCAGTTCGCGGGAAACAGGCTCACAAGGAGTTGTGGGCGTGAATATGTGCGCCATCCAATGAAACGCGACTACACTACGAAATGATAATCACGTGATCCAAACAAAATGCATGCTTGTTGGTCGTGTTGTTGGCGCGTAGATTTCAGCGCTGAGCGCACCCCTCCCCTTTTTAAAGGACTCTTCTTTCTAATTTAACAAATCAGAAATTAAAATTAAAAAGTAAACGTTGAAATAAATGAAGTTGACAAAAAATCAGTACATTTATTTATTTAGTTCGCAAGTTATTTGTTTATTTATTTACAAATATATTTTCTCTAAAATTCATTTCTGAGCTGGGTTAGGGTTAGGGTTATTCGGCGGCTGTGGCTTGGAGGTACAATAACAACAGCTTGGAGGTACAATAACAACATCTCATCTTACAAATAGGTAAACGGTGAAATAAATTAGTGAAAGTGCATTCTTAGTATGTGAGACTCATAAAACATGATTCAGATTCTGAATGTGGAAAATGTGGAATGTGGAAATAAATCATTATAATTATTTATTTACAAATATATATATACATATCATTATAATTATTTATTTACAAATATATATATATATATATATATATATATATATATATATATATATATATATATATATATATATATATATTCTATTTTTATTCCCCTCATGTATTCAATTATTTCCCCTCATTTATTAATTTACTTATTTAAATTTTTATTTCAAAATTTATTATTTTTTTTATTTGTTTATCTTCATATTTTGGCTATGTCCAAATACCCATAGTATAGTCTTTGCAGGAGTCAAATTTGATCAAGTGGCAAAGAGGAAAACATATTCTCTTATATATGAGTAAGGTGTTCAATAAACACACACCTCAAATCTACACTTAAAGAAACTTTATAAATGCGTGTCTAATCGTTCTACAGACATGCGTAGTCAATGGTTTTGCACTTTAGTGCATTTTAGTTAAAAATTTAATTTTCTGCCTAAAACTGTCAGTGTTGTGCCGTTGTCAGGTAAAAACTCTGCACTGCATTTGAATTTAAATCTGCCATCGCTATTGGCCAAGAGATACCCCATGACGTTAGCTGGTACCATGTGATGTCACAATCTCATCGTGAGCCTGTGGCTGTGTCTCAATTCAGGGTCTGCATCCTGCGTCGGCTGGTTACGTCACAGCGCCGCGACTAGGCCTGTCCCAATTCGAAGACTCCTTCAAATGCTGTCGACGAGTCCGGCCTTCTTTTTGCCTGTTTGAAGGATGGGTCCGGTGTATCCTTCAATGGTTCACATTTCCCAAGATGCCTTGCGGGTCGGACAGCAGAACTTTTAAAAACAATGGCGGACAGTGAAGCGGGAGCTGTCGTATAGGATTGCGCGTATAAATGTAAGTATAAACTTGAAAACTGTTAGGTTAAGGACTTTTTGTGATACATGAACGTTATTTTAGTTAGAAATGTTACAGTTAAAGTGCTTGTATTGCGGTCTCGGCTCGTATGTTCGGCCGCTCGGTGTCGCACTTCTCCCGCTACGTTTTCCCCCTGATTTTAATAGAAGTTTGTATTTTAGGGACAAAAGAGAAAACCGCTGACTTTATTAAGCTCAGGGCGGAGATGGACCACATGTTCACCGGAGCTAAGTATTCGGCGGCTGTGGCTTGGAGGTACAATAACCAGTGGCGGTTCTACATGGAATTACTCCCCGGGCGAGGCCCCCTTTGAGCCCTCCCCCCCCCCCACCACCACCACCACCACCACACCACCCCACCTGCACGAACACACACATGTTTTCTACAAACAGGCATGTTTTATTAGAACGACTATTGAACATTCATTTTTCTAAGTTGCACATATTTACATTAATTACTATGAAGTTGTCAGACTGTAAAGCAATATACATTATATACTGTATCTAAATATATAGAATCAAATACACAAAAACAAACAATAACTAAATACTTAGAATATATGAACATAATATATAATAAATATTCTAAAAAGCAAAAATATTTCACACATAACAAATTAAGATAATCACTACAGCACTGCACTTAGAACAGAAAACACAAACTCAAATTAAAACCTAACCTTGATGCAAAGTCATCAATAATGTCATCGTTTGAAATCTGCTCCCATACTGAGTGATTGATGCCAGGGGCGCAGATAGGATTTTCAAACTGGGGGGGACAAAGTTCCAATGTACCCTCCCCCAAACACATTGACGCACACACACACACACACACACACGCACGCACGCACACACACACACACACACACACACACACACACACACACACACACACACACACACACACACACACACACACACACACACACATACACAAACTATTGCAAGCGCCTTAACTAGAGCTCAGTCAGTTTGTGTAATTTCATCCAACGGTTTACGTAAAAACTAACTTTTATATACGTGTTTGACACCATTGTGCAGTGGAACGCTGGCAACAAAGCTCTGCCTGATCAGCACTATAAATGATAAATGATCCACACTTGTATAGCGCCTCTTAGAGTAAGGACTCCAAAGTGCTTTACACTACAGTGTATCATTCATCCATTCACACACATTCACACACTGATCTTCCTACGGCACGGGTGTCAAACTCATTTTAGCTCAGGGGCCACATTGAGGGAAATCTTGTCCCAAGTGGGCCGGACCGGTAAATTAAAAAACAACAAACTTCAGATTGTTTTCTTTGTTTTAATACAATCAATATAAAACAAGGCTGGAGCCTGAGGACAGTGTATCCAAAATAGTACAAGTACAACACCTGAAGTGTAGTTGAAAATTTGAAAAAAAAAAATCAATCAATAAAAAAGAAACATTCCTTAGTGATTCAAAGAGCTTACAGATCACATGGCTAGATCAGTTTCATGCAGCACTTAAAGTATATTTGACTCATTTTACTTTACATCTTTTAGCTTTCACCAGCACATCAATATCAGAAGTCACATCCTGAGTGGCAGCCATCTTCAGGATGTGATTCAAGTTCTTGTGTGAGCCTTGGGCGCAGCTTTGTTTTATTTATACTCATTACAGAGGAAACTTGCTCACAAAGATAAGTTTATTTTCACTCTACATTGTAAAGTATGAAAATAAAGTTTACACAACCATCTCGCGGGCCGGATTTAACCCGCTTGCGGGCCGGATTCGGCCCGCGGGCCGCATTTTGACACCCCTGTCCTAGGGGCATTGCTTGAGAGGATAAACAATCCTTCTAGCTAACTCTAGATGTGCCTCGGGCTCTCCCAGCGGTGAGATGCGGCTTGAAAAACCTCCAGAGAAAGGTGTCCAGGTCACGTTTTAATCTGATGCTAAATAAAACAAGAAAGGTTTAAAAAGGCAAGATCAGCAGGAAGTCTTTGCAGAAGAGGATGTAAAGAGCATCATTTCTATTTGAGGTGGTAAACGCGCCCACATCCCCCACACATCACTAAAAACTGGCTCTCATTTGCATTGAATTGAGACTAAGTGAATATCTGAAATTGGCAGACACTGACTGGCTGCAGCACTGGCTTGGGCCTTTTTGAGAAATTACATAGAAGATCCTTGCATAAAGAAGACATTTCAATTGGAGCAACCACAGAAAGATCATCGACACTGCAGCATCTCTTTAATATGTTTGGGCGCAGGCGTTTCTGCCGTTTATGGATGCTGAAGAATATGTCAAAATTAAATTGTGTGTCTTTGAACATAAACATTTTAATATGGTCAGTTTTCAATGGCTTTAGAATGCGTGCATAACTTCACTGATCAGAGCTGAAGACGCCAGCACACAGCTCTCTTCCGCCACCTACTGGACACACGTGTAAAGTACATATTTTAAACGGATTTCCTGCTTTGATACCAAATTAAATATATTAAAAACCAACAATACAATTTCACTCTCCAGGACGTAGCATTTACAAACAAGTGGGCTTTATTTTTTGGCAAAGTTTTATTTTGCAAGTGATACATATTTTCAGGGATTGTCTTAACAATGACGAATTCCATCCTCTCCAACAACCAGGAGAGCACATGAAAAGAAATGACTTCAGACACAAACTGTACAATATGTGAATATACGGTAGCACAAGAGATATAAATGTCCAATATGTTTACCCTTGGTTAGACCAAAACTGACTCCATCAAATATCAGAAACTGACAAAATGCATACTTGCAGTTAAGGTGACTTAGTTCCACTCAACTTTAGTCTTTTTTTAAAAAAAATTGTTAATATTAAAGGTGTTTTATTTTTTCTTAAATCACATGTAGAGTAATTGTTCTTCATCTTTATTAAAAAGACTTGTCTGTGTGCTTCGGTGGTGTCGCCCTGAACACCTGAACCGAACCGTGTTGACAGTGGGTGCTCCTCTGGAGGAGCTGGGCAGATATCATGCTCCAAAGACACATGAAGGCAGCTCATACAATCAAAAATACGGGTTGAAAACAGCCAGTGAAAGTATTTTTTACATCATATCTGCAGCGGCAATCAGAGGGACTGAAGCAGATAAAACATAAATAATAATTACTGGAAAAGAACAGGTACAAGAAAGTAAAAATAGCACTTTGTGCCACGACGTGTTTGAAAAGTGTGAGTTGTCTGCATGAATGGAACGTGCCAGTCTGTCATGATCCGCCCCAGCCTCCCTGAATGTGTCTCTCCTGCCCTGATTAGCCTAATTGTTCTCACCTGTCCCTGATTACTCTGCCCATGTGTTCCTGATTCCCTTGTGTATTTATACCTCCCTCCTGGTTGTTGTCTTTGTCGGTTCATTGTCGCTGTCCATGTTCGTTCGTCCTGTTGCTCCTGTCCTACAATAGACAGCTTTTTATTTTTTACATCCGTCTGCCTGCTCATCTGCCTCCGGAACCCACCACCACACATGGTCTGCCACCTCCACCCGCAGAACATGACACAGTCTTTGTGCGAACCTTCGTTTCTTTCCCCTCTGATTTAAAAAACTATGAAAGAAAAATCAGATGTGGCAGAGAATAAACATGAACAGGATATAAAAGAGGGTGGGCCTTTCAGTTCAGCCCTCATCTTTTGTGGTGCTATCCTGTGGATCCTCGTCGTTGTCTAAATCACTGTGAAGCCTCTTGGTCGTGATGTTTCTGCTCCTCTCCTCCTTAGCCTCCTTCTTTATCTGAACTGGTAATGGATTCTCTGGGCGTGAAAAGAGGAAACGATGAGGCTCGTGTGAAACATCCAATTATGGCTTTCAGCTTGATGTTGTAAAAAATAACCAGCAATCAATCTGAAAGATGTGCGTTTTAAGTCAAACAAATGTTTGTCCTTCTGTCCCTTTTTTTGGTGAAACCCCTGCACTCACCCGCTGATGGAACACATCGTTCTTCAGCGCCACCTCCGTTATCGCTGTGACTGGCACTAACGGTCTCTTTCTGTTCCTCGTCTGTGACAATTCTCAGTCTTGCGCTCTCAAAAACAGATTTGATGACGATTGAGTCCTCGTAGATCTGCAGAGGTCGACAAACAAATTCAGACAAACAGTCGGGGGCTTTTCTCAAGCTTTCATAGCTGTTGAAGATTACAACAACAGATTGTTGCAGGATGCAAGAATGAAACTGTTTAGGGTTCACCTGGGATCCTTCCAGGTTATACGTCTGTGCATTGTGACAGAGAAGGTAGACATCCTTTTCTAAATCCCCAACACTTCTGTATTTGTGATTACGCACACGCTCCTGAGGATCAGCAAAAAAAAGAATAAAACAAATTCCATCAAAAAAAGAAAAGCTAACAAAGTACTAACATCATAATGTGCTGGTTTGTACTTTAAAAACTGAAATGTTCATCTGTAAATCAGCTGTGGCAGCTACAAGAAGTGCAGAAGGTGTAAACCCTTATTTGGTCATAGGACTCATCTTTTATGTTGGGCCTGTATAGAGCTCCGGGAGTTGACGTCACTTCTCCCGGCATGCAACAGTTCAAATCAAAACGGCGCCATTTGGCAGGCAGAAGCCGGCAGCTGGACTATTTGTTATTGTCAGAAAACTCAATCAAATGGGACATATGGTAGATTCCTGTTGTGCCCCAGGATGCAGAACAGACGCGGACGACATAAGGAATGAGCCATCTACAGGATTCCCCAAGATCCAGAACACCGCAAACGTTGGATCATTGTAATAAAACGCACTAGTGACCGGGCGAAAATGAAGCTGTGGGATCCCGAGAGTAAAGGTTTTCGCTTATGCATCGACTGCTTCATATCAGGTACTTAAACCAATGTTTCCTCAACTGTGTGTGGTGTTTATTTTAAATGCGTTTATTACGATTCTTAGCGGGCTTCCTAAACTTATTTTGGCGTGGCTTTTTCTGTCTTATTACTCATAGCAACAAATAAACATCACGTAAAACGTTGCCTCGTGAGTTCTGCGTGCTGCCGCTTACGTGTTTTATGATCACAGCAATTAACCGGCTAAGCTGTATTTAATTTTTAAGCAATGGTTGATCAATTGTCAGATCACACATAAAAAGCACTTTGGATTGCTATTATCTGTCTCACTGAGACTACTTACGTGTAAATCTGTTATTTGTCCGTCCATCCATCCATTTTCATCCGCGTATCCGGAGTCCGGTTGCGGGGGCAGTAGCGTGACTTCCCTCTCCCCAGCCGCCGGAGCCAGCTCCTCCGGGTAAATCCCAAGGGGTTCCCCAGTCAGGTCTGGTGTTGTGCCGGTAAGAAGCCCGCTCCGACGCCAGAAGCTGTCGGAGCGGGCTCTCGTCGAGAGTCCCAGACCTTCTCCCCAGCTCCTCCGGCCGGGTAAATCCCAAGGGGTTTCCCCGGCCAGGTCTGGTGTTGTGCCGGTAAGAAGTCCGCTCCGACAGCTTCTGGCGTTTTTAAAAAGTATCCCAGGGGCACGGTAAGGGTCGGAGATGTTTAGTCTATTTAATTTCTGACTATATAAAACGATTTCTTCTGTTTTAAAGTGTGAAGTAAACTCCGACGAAGTAAAATCCAAGCGGATCCCGTTCATGTTCATGGTTACATCCGTGTTTGTTTACCTTTGTTGCATGCCAAAATGGCGTCCACTAACTGAGAGTCACGTGGGGTCCGGAGCTCTATAGGGTTGCCCTCATCTTGTACCCTTCCTTGGAGGGGAAGGAGGAATCTACGCGATGGAGGGACATGTCTGTATGTTTAGAGTCATGCTCGCACAATGTGCATCCTCTCTCTTGTTGCAACAAGCACAAACTTTAATGATGGATAAAGAATCTCTCTCTACTCTGTTAAAGGTCACATTGACTTTTATTTTTATAAATAAGTCTGCTTTGGCCTCTGTTTCCACAGTCAGCTGGTAGAACCCCGGGTCCGAACCAAACAGGGTGAAGCTGCTTTTAGCTACTACGCTGCTCACAGATGGAATCAGCTTCCTTACGAACTCAAATCTGCCTCAACTCCAGTAACTCTTAAATGAAAATTCAAAACCTTCATGTATTCATCAGCCTTTGAACAATAAATCTTTTATACCGCACCTTCTGCGCTGTAACTGCTCGCCTTTTATCTTTGCCCTTTTTTGATTCTTAAACCTGAAATCTAACTGCGTGTATTTTAATTGTGCTGTCATGTTGATTTTAATGTTCATGTTATTCTTGATAATGAAAAGCACGCTGGATTGCCTCTGTGTATGAAATGCCTGTTATAAATGAATGCTTTGAGGGTCAGTCTCACTAGCACGCCTGTTTCAGGAAGTAGAAGTGAGCCAGAGTCGAGTTTCAGACGGCAGGATTTGTTTGTTTTATTTCCACAAAAATCAAGCCTGAAAGAGTTCTGCCATGTTGAGGAGTTGCTAATGCTAACAGTTAGCCTCTGCTAGTTGAGATGTGCTCTGCTCTCTTGGACACGGCTGACAACTGTCACGCATGGAGCATGAGACAAACTAATTTGACCCTCATCACAATCAGTGCGTTTACATGCAGCCAGTAACCCTTTTAAAACCCGAATATTCACAATAACCCGGTTCCGCAGGTCCATGTAAACACCGCCAAAACCCCGGGTATGCTCATAACCGGGTTTTTAAAAACCCGGTTACTACACCTGGGGTAACCCTTTTCTAACCCGAATGTTTGGTCGTGTAAACGCATATCGGGATATCCCCATCAAAGCGTTTGTTCTGCACATGCTCTGTTCGCAAGAAATCTTGGTCTTTTGAGTAGCGAGACGTCTTGTATGCACCAGAACACCGGAAGTAAACACCAAGTTGGGAGCAACATGGCGAGTCGCGGCACAGCACCACACTTTTGGAGTGACGAAGAAACTAAAGCGCAAACAAACGTGGTCGCTATCTCTTCCGAACTGGGAAACATGTTGTTGTTTTCATCGATACCGGAACAAGAAGAACCGGAAATGACGCATATTGCGTCTGGACGTAACAACATCTCATCTTCTAAAAACTTTCGTTTGAGTTTAGTTTTTTCTGCGAAAACATGACAGGAATAAACCGTTGTCCTCTTCTATCTTTTCTGTTTCTTTTCTTACATGTTAGGACTATTCTGGAGAAAATGGCCATCCAGGGAAAGGTGACCCCCATCCAGGGAAAAAAAAGGGGATAATTTAAAGAAAAAATATTAAGTATGTAGATGCGTGTGGAAAAATATAACATGTATACACGCTAAATCTTAAAAGCTTAAACAGGTTTGTAGTTATTTGTGTAAACTGACATTTTTTTTTATTATCTAGGATTGCAAGTATCCAGGGTCAGGAGAGGGGGTTAGTGGGAAACCCACTGCTGCTACTCGGCCCTGGTTTGACCTCATGGATGAGGTATTAGGACAGAGACCCTCAACCAGTCTGCCTGTCCTAATTGCCTCTATCCGTGAGGACACTCCAGGGTAAAGTACAGCAGTGGAGGAAAGGGAGGAGAGTGAGGATGAAGATGCTCAGCCAGGAGGAAGTCAGCCAGGTGGAAGAAAAAGGAGAAGGGACAGCGATGACCAGCTTCTGGAGCTGATCAGGGAGGACATGAGGCTGCCCTTAGAAAGTATTAAAAACTATTATCACATCTTTGCTCAGGCTCAGCTTTGCAAACTGTTTTCTCTGAATTAGCTCTCCAACAGTCCCAAAAACATTATTTAAGTGTGTGATTTTAATCATTTTAATAAAAAAAAACAATCAAATTTAGCCTATTGTGGGTGCATTTGAATTGCCTCTAAAAGCACCACAGTGGACTGTTGGTCAACTATTTAAGTTAAAAGCACCAGTATCACTCATGTAAAGGAAGCTGCAGTGACATATAAAAAATATTGAGAATGTCTTGAAACAGTATTAAAATGAACTTCAAGATTCTTTTCTGTAACCTGTAATGTTTTAAAGTATTAAACAAAAAATATAATTGAGAAAATAATGGAGAAATGGATCAAACTTAATACTTTTATTTACAACTATTTTGTTTGAACATGGTTGAACATATATACACAAAATCATGAAGGGAAACATACAAAATAAGAGAAATATCTGACAAAGAAAAGTAAAATGCATATTTGGTGCAGGATTAGCCTGAGTGTCCTGTTCCAAAACCGTTTCAACAACTCTGAAGCAGGAAGTCTCTAACAGGGCTGCTGGATCTGCTGAACAGATGAATGTCATGGATGGAGTGCTGGAGCTGAGACCCGTGGCTGCTCTTTTCTGGTTGACAAGTGAAGCATCCTACTGGGTGGTCTGCAGAAAGAGCTTCAAGATGTGTCTTGCCTGTCCACTGCATCGTCCATCGGTTTGCAGGGCTGGCTGTCGACGGCTGCTACATGACCAAGACTGAAACATAAATAGACAAATAGGAGATAATAAATACAAAATCTACATGCTATTGGTGAAATGTTAGACTATTTAAAAAAAAAAAACGTAAATTCATGCATTTGTTACCTGGTAACAGTAGTCATGGTCCAGTGGAACCTCCTCCAGGGCAGACACCTCACAGCACAGCTGGTCCCGCCAGCGTGCACCGCTGACATCCTCCAAACCAGCCTCCCCCTCATCATCTCCACCATCCTCCTCAGGCTCATCCTCCGCCGCCACAAAGTCTCCAGCACTGAGGCAGATGTTGTGGAGGATGGCACAAGCGGTAACAACCTGTAATACATAAATTAATTAATTGAAATATATTTCAAAGAAATAAGAAAAGCCACATTTCGTACACTTACATGAGGCACAAAGGTGGGGTGGACCTCCAGCGCTTGCGGAAGATGGCTCTGAACCTGGTTTTCATCATTCCAAGGCACGCTCTATCACAGAGCGTGCCTTGGAATGATGGCTGTTAAAGCGCTGGGCAGCCACACCTTGATTCCCATGTTTGTAGGGAGTGATGAGTGGGAGTGGGCTTTGCAGGCATGGGTACCCACCATCTGCGAGGATGAAGCGCCCTGGAGGAGGGTAGACTGACTGCCTGTACAGCGGGCTGTGGCGGAGCACCCTGGAGTCGTGCACCGCACCCGGCCAGCCCATGTAAGTGTCAATGAAGCGGCCATGATGGTCACACACAGCCTGCAGGATGATGGAGGGGAACAGTTTCCTGTTCCTGTAGCAGTGACCATCAGGGCCGCTTGGAGGCTTGATCCTGATGTGGCAGCCGTCAATGGCACCTGCAGCTTTAAAAAAAAAGCTCCATGCCGTGCCAGCCCTGCAAACCCCTGGGACACCACCTCCAGGTCTTCAGGGGTTTTTGGAAGGTGGATGACCTGGTGGCGAATGGCCACAACCTCCTCCGTGACTCTGTGGACGATGCGGTGGACAGTCGAACGAGGTATCCCGAACGCTCTGGAGACCACCCTGTAAGATGCTTCACTTGCCAACCAGAAAAGAAACAACAGGGTCTCAATTGTGGCACCCCAACCATGACGCCGATCTTGGTTCAGCAGATTCAGCAGCACTGAAAGGGACTCCCTGCTCAAATGAAAGTCTGGTCTCGGACCTTGCTGGTTGAAGAAACGGTCCAGGACTGGGACACTCTGGTCAATCCTGCAGTATCTGGGTCTAGTCTGGTTAAAGAGAAATACAGGAAAAATAAAGTTTTATTTCAAAGCTGTAATTTCAAGTTTTTATAAAACATAACATTATTCTCAATGTAAATGTGATAATATTGTGCATTTTTATGCTATTCTTTCAAATTTCTAAAAACTTAACTTGTGTATTCAATGAAGGCCAAAAGTTCAATTTTCTGTAATTAAGTTTGTAAGTCTTATAACAAGTTCTTATTTTTGTCCACTAGATGTCCCTCTACAGGCAACTGATGGTTCCATGTAATGTGCTCTTTCTGCTAACAGTTATTTGCTATTTAATGATATCCGTATTTTTTAATTATTATTTTTGTTAATTTAAGCCATTTTCACATTTTTTTCTTCTTACTTGAGTAACTCTTTTGGTGGGGAGCTTTTTTAGTTGAGTAAGTATAAAAGATTTGAATTTGTAGTTTATATTTGAGTATAGGTTTTGAATTTAATAAGGAGTCTGTTTACAACCTGTAAAAAGTTGCTAAAACTATCCATTAAACTAGCTATAGCCGATAGGTAAAGCCTACTTAATAGAAATTACTTTACCTGTTCATTGTTGCATCTCAGCCTGAGCAATAGAAAATGCCTTCACGGGCGATACATGTCTTCTAACTCCTCCAGAACCAAGGAAATTTTTAAAAAGCTCAACAAAACTTCCAGCTCCGTCATTTAAAGTTCCTTCTCCCTTCTGCTCAGCGGTTCCACGGTTGCTAGGTGACGGAAAATTCACCGAGGGAGAGGCGGGAATTCATGAAGGCTAAGCCTGTCCAAATTCACAGCCGTTAACTTCCGGTCAACTCGGCTGACGGAGGACCCAGCCCACGTCGGGCGAGTACGCTGGGTCCTTCGAAGGATGCAGACCCTGAATTGAGACACAGCCTGCGTGTGTATTTGTTAGCAGCTCCGCCCTCTCGGTCTGCTAGGCAACAGCATTTGTTGCATTTTTCAAACAGAAAGTGGAAGTGGAGAAGTGGAGTTATACTCTGGTAGGGGTGACTTGCTCTTTAAAAACTCCTTGGATGGAAAGCCATACGCTTTCAAGAAACCAAAGAAGTCCAGTTGCTTTCAGTTGTTGGCTACCCTTTGGATTACACTTAAACGTAATGTTAAGAGGAGTTACCTTTGCACATAGGCGTCATTTTAACCGGGGACACCGGGGACATGTCCCCGGCAAAATTTGTGATTGGAAGCTGTGTCCCCCCCACTTTCAAAAATGCCTGCCGATGAGGATTTTTGTTTTACCAGCTCATATCTTATACCAGGGGTTGGCAACCTATTCCCATCAAAGAGCCATTATTACCCATTTCCCACAGTAATTCTGGATGGACCTTAATAAGCAGTGACTTAAGTGAAGCAGGCAGGTCGCGCTAGAAAACTTAGTTTAAAAAGACGTCATAAATGTGTTCCCCCGTCATTTTTATTTCTAAAATATGAAGTAAAAACTCACAATTTAATTTTCATTCATTTGTCATTAATATTTAGTCTACACCCGTGCGTTAAGTGGACCATCTTCCAGTAAACGCAAAGCATCCAGTCCACCTCTCCAAATGCGTAAAATGTGCATCAGCCGCTAGTTAGGCGCGCCATCAGCTGATCAGCCCAGACAAGAACAGAGCAAATAGAGAAAGAATAGAGGATGATTCTGTCTGGATGTGGATGGAGATTACATTTTACAGCAGCCTGATCATCATTTAAATACGTAAACTATCACCTGGCTTCTAGTCCATGCTATCAGCATTATTTTAATTGGTGTGTGTGTGTGTGTGTGTGTGTGTGTGTGTGTGTGTTTTCCACTTCAAACACTGGTCTAACCAACCAGACCAGCGTGTCCAGTAACATATTAATGTTACAATTAAACAGTTTGACTTCATGTAGGCTAGGAACATTCCACCTGCCGTGGCCCGACCGCTTCTGCTCCACATGAACTTTGTGCGTGATCAAATGTCTCTACGCGTCATGCGTCTCCATATTAGAGACGGGAACAAGCGCTGTTCAGCCAAAGTTTCATAATTTCATAAAAATAACATTTTTCCAAGTGACACATCCCTCAGAGAGACCGGGTTTCCAGACTGTTTCAGTGGGAGGAAATCTTATCGCATTTATCCGTCAATATGTGGCAAGGTGGAAAAACGAGGGCCCGGGCGTGATTTGATCCCCAGACTCCCGGGTGAGAGTCATACCCTCTAACCAGTCAGCCAAAGGGACATCCCCTTGGCCAAGTAGCCAGGGCGCATTATCTATCGGGACACTGTGACAGGACACTCACACTGCCACACCTGATTATGAAACTTTGGCTGAATAGTGCTTGTTCCTGTCTCCAATGTGGCGACGCATCCAGGAACCTGTCTGAGGAGAAGCCCAGAATCTGACATCCTCCAGCTCAGAAGCGCCGATATGATTACGCACAAGCGTGACGCGTCAACCCGGTCTCACAGTAAGACCGGGTTGGACCTGTTCAGGTTTACGCAGACAATCTTTACATTTAGAATTGGCATACAGATGTAAAATTAATGCAGTAACATATAAAGCATTTTATTTAAACATCCATTCATTATTTTAAGAGCACAGAGAGCGCATCAGATGGATGGAAGAGCCGCATGCGGCTCCAGAGCCGCCGACCCCTTTGCTAGCCTACTTTATTGTCCCCAGCAATTTTTAAACCCCACTCAAGTGTATGGTTATTGTCCCCAGCAATTCTGGAAACAAACTGACGCCCTTGCCTTTGCAGGGAGAATTATTAAAATCTGCAGATTTATTTAACTAATGCAGTTTTACAAAAATCCAACACAAAACCTTTGATTGATACAAAATTACACACAACTGATGAGTGAAAATGGATCAGAAGGAAGACTTTACACAACCTGACCTCTTTTTGACAGCTAAAAATATTTGGCCATGCATGTTTAAAAACGTATTCTCTACAAATGAAATTCCAAATACAAAATCACAACAAACAATATTGTGTAATTTACACAAATTTAAAGTACATTCTTTTTATTTGAGGTTTCTTAAACTGATCAACAATTAAACCATACAAGCTGTAACGTGAGGAAATATGGGTTTTCTGTCACAAAGGTGGTGTTGGACTCAGCTGGGTCAAAGCTGGGTCGCTGAGAACTTTCACCCACAGATTAAGACCTGAACGCCAGCGAGTCTGGGAGGAAACCATAACATCAGCCACCTGCAGCGTCCAGAAGACGTGTTTCCATGAGTTGTACCCAGAACAAGTCAAAACATAAAGTTTAAACTTCCTTTTCTTGTTTTGAATGTTAAAAGTTTAATCATCAATTTGCTCATTATAAATGTGTTTTAATCAAATGAATGACTATTATGCTTTGGGTAATTATAAGAGATTTAATGAATCCATACTTAATTAGATAATGTTTGAGAGTGTTTGTTACTGACCTTCACACACTCTCAAGCACACAAACATTCACACACACCCACACACATCTGCTCACAGTAAACTCCAAACACATTTGCTGACGCACACGTTTGCTTTGAGAAGAGAAAGGCTTTTGGTAAGTTTCAGTCTTGATTTTCAGTTCGTGCTTGACAACGAAAGAGAGAGGACCTGAGTAAACGCTATAAGGGGGGAGCCGGTTGGCTCGTTTCTCCCCCCCCTCACGCTGTTCCTGTCAGCCAGACAGAATAGCTGAACTGCAACAACTAACGCGGACTCGCCTCGAGTCCTTTGATTTCTGAGTGAACTAAACTTAACAAACGCATCGACAAAACGCTTTACCATCAACGTGTACCGAGGGCAACTCTGGACCGGTTCCATTCGACACCTACGTCTCCCCTGTCAGCCGCTGGTGTCATCTGGATGAACCACCAACATCCTCCACGGCCCGGATCCGAAAGAGGGTCCACAAGAGTTCGGTGAGACAGAGCACGGTGTTTAGCGTTTGATGCAGTTCTCTGATAAGACCTAAGTTTATCCAAACCATCACTTCACTCAGACACCTGTTCTTCCTGAAGCAAAATCAGACTCACACACGCATTCATATCACAACATTCTCAATCTTCATAAATTCACCACAAGGTCTATTTGATCATATCAACTGTTAAAGATTGTCCCACAAGTTGCCAATGTTGATTGTTATTTCCTGTTTGTCAATTTCAAAATCATTAGTTTAATTTGAAGAATTAAATCTTTTAATTGTCAAACTGGTTTCCTCATTGAACTGAAACACAGACACACAGATATTATCGTCAGTTTATCGATGAAAACAACCTTTGAGTCTTCTTAACAATATAAAATTTGGTTATTGATTTATTAAAAATTAATATTCCGAATTAATACGTAGCATGGTTCCTCTTTCATAAAAGAGCCTAAAACCACAACGCTACAATAGGGCTGAGCTAAACCAGTTTCTCCTTACAATATGGCGAGCGTATCCAGACTTCTATATCTGCGATATATCTGATTCCAAACATCTAAAAGCTCTGTGTTTCACTTTGATGTCTTATTTTGAAAAAAAAAACCCGGAAATTATTCCGCTGAAGTCACTCTTCCGGGAGACGTCCTGGTGGAAACTTGACGGTGGAAGATCTCCGATCTCAAATTGTCCGCAAATTACAGACAGTACTTTGATTTATCCCATCTTCGCCTTCGGAGCGAACGTGTGAGTTGTGCTTTTGACTAACTTCTGCCCATTTTGACGCGAAGCCGCGCCTCTAATCTCTTCAGGTCGGAAAGCTACATTTCCGCTCTGAAACTTGCTGGGTGAGCTACCGTGAGCAGCTTATCCTCAATCCTAAAATTAAGACTAAATTCTCCGAATTCTCGGACACCCTTCGTCTCAGTGTGTTGACACTGTGGGCGAGCTGTTGTGGAAGATATTTCCATTACATAGGCGACTGTTCGAAGCCGAATCTAACCGGAATGCTCGTTGGCACCTACTGTATCTTAACTTGCTAAGTAAACGCTGTAAGTCGGGTTATTACCGTAGCGCGTTACTGCATCCAGATTGCGTACGCTTTAAAGTCCGTTTTAGCCGCGGAGCGAGATGCCTGCTGGTTAATCGGGCAAATTTAAGTCTGGTCGCTACAGACGAAGAGCTAGACCTAGCCGGAGAGCTAAGCTAGCGAGCCACAGTTAGACAAAAAGGGAACGCGTCCCATTAAATTGTCAAACCATTTCTGACACAGTCAGTCTGTGTCCTCCCGAAACCCACATTGGCGGTGATTCTTGTAAATCACTACGGTGTGTAGAATCTACATTTTGCTACGTTTGTCCGTCTGATACCAACACGTCAGTGTGACAGCTTCCTCTTGTCCGTCCGGGGTTATTGGAGTTGCCTCAAATCACCGCACACATACAATCAGGCCACAGACACAGGACTGTCCTTCAGAGCTTTTTACTGGCAGGATCTGATGTAAAAACAAGCACACAATAATACATCAGTGTGTGTGCGCTGCAACTGCATACAACGGTCTGTTCAAGGCAAAAAGAAAAACCCAAACATTACTAAAAGGACTGAAAAGCTAGGTTCCATTAGCGTGAATCTCGGCTATAAAGTTATTAATTTAATGCAAACACAGCTAACCTTTTTCAAAATATGCTCTAACAACACTTAAATATCTGTAACAAGTCCTATTGATATATTAATTAAAGGTTAAAATGACTTTAAGTGCAGAGCGGCTTCACAGTACACCTACCTCCACCAGCTTTCATTACTGCTTTGGTGGGAGGGGCCGTGAATGCGCCTGAAGGACCCGTTGCATGCAGTTGCGCCTAACCACCAGTAGGCGGCTCCAAAAACAAACAATCACTGCACATCACTTTTGGTGAAATTCACATTTTCATCTCTGTTACACCTACCCCTGCTGAATTTCAGCCAAAATTATTAAAGTGCAAATATCATCACCATGACACAAAACCTCACATTACTCAACATGGGTGTACACAGTCCAACTTAAACAGTATCCTCTATAAAGGATGAAGTGGCAAGGAAATGGCGCCCTATTCCCTACCAGCTCCTGGAAGCAGGATGCAGCCTACATCCTACATAACCCACATGTAAAACAAAAATAAGCCCCTAAACCAGGACTAGTACTAAGTTATGGTGATATATCTATTATAAAATACAAAACACAGAACAAAGAACAAGATACAACTTGTTTAGAAAAGGGCATATTATTGTACATGCCTCTACTGAAACATTTGAAAAACTGAATTAGAAACTGTCCTTAAGCTGACTAGCATCGTCACTAATAGCCATGTTGGTCATCACCTGAATCAGCCTATTGACAGGCTTGACTGTCCTACCAACACGGGTTCTGACTGTGTGGACTGAGTCAGTGCCAATAGCAGACTGAGCAACCAGTGAAGTGTGCGAGAGAACACTCTGTCTATCAGCAGTGGGAACTAGCAAGGGATAAGGGTCATAGCCCGTCACACTAGGGGACAACAGAAGCTCCTCGTTTCCCTCCACTGCAGAGACCCCCTCGCTGACGGAGTCGTTCATGTGAGCAGCATTACGGGATGCATCAGGTAAGGAGCTGACCCACTCTTGGGTTCTGATTCTTGAATCATTCTTTTCAACAACTGACTCCGGTGTATCTGATGCAGTAGTAACATCAGATCCATCAGGTAAGAGGGCAGAAGAGTCGACAGACTGACTGGCTGTATCAAAGGGCAAGAAATTCACAAGCATCAAGAGGTTACGATGCACAACTCTGACCTGACCAGTGTTGGGATGCTGTATCTGATATGTGTGGGTTGTAGGATTCGTGCCCACGACAGTAAACACTGTAGACTCCCAGCGGTCAGCAGTTTTACGCTTCCCTCTTTCCCGTTTGTTCGAGACTAGGACACGGTCTCCGACACCAATAGGTTTTCCTTTTGTACGGCGGTTGTAGAGGCAAGCCTGTCGTTCCTGTTCCCTGTCGGCATGCCTTAGAGCTATGGCCATGGCGTCCTGGAGATCTTTTGTCAGGGATAGCACATACTTGTCATAGCCACACAGTTCAGGATCTCTAAGAATGTTCTTAAAAAGCACATCAACTGGGAGGCATGGCACTCTTCCATACATCAAATAAAAAGGGGCATAGCTTGTAGTCTCGTTGACTGTGCAATTGTACATGAAGGTTAATGTCTGAAGGTGTTTTGGCCAGTTCTGTTTTGCATCAGGTGGGAGAGCTCTTATCATGTTTCCCAGTGTTCTGTTGAAGTGTTCTGCGCTACCATTGCCCATCGGGTGGTACGGGGTTGTATGGGATTTCCTCACACCCGCAACTTCCAACAGTTCCCTTATGAGCTGACTCTCAAAGGAGGGACCCTGGTCTGAATGTATCCTTTCAGGAAACCCGTATATACAGAAAAATTTGTCCCAAAGCTGCCTCGCCACCTGCTTTGCAGATTGGTCACGACAAGGAAAGGCCTGTGCAAGTCGTGTGAAATGGTCGGTCACAACCAACACGTCAACAGATTTGTTATTGGAGTCCTCTGCAGTCCAAAAATCAATGCACACGACCTCCAACGGTGAAGATGTTTTGATACTTTCAAGAGGTGCTCGACCTTCTGGATCAGGGGATTTGCCAATAACACACCGGGAACACTGGCGAACATAGTCTTTAACATCACGGTCAATGTGGGGCCAGAAGAACCTCTGACGAGCAATAGCCAAGCTCCTAAACTGCCCTTGATGACCAGCACTGTCATGAATCCCCTTGAGAACCTCAGCCTTTAGACAATCAGGAACTACAAATTGGTGACGCCTCTTGTTGGTTACTGGGTTTTTAGAAAGTCTGTACAGGATTCCATTGGACATTGTAAACTTTTCCCAGTGTTTGAGGTACCTGGCGACCATGGCTTGCTCTTTGGGTTTCTCTCTTCTGGATGGGCGACGGCCACGGGCAACATAGTACAACACCCTTGATAGGACAGGGTCGTTTTGTTGTTTCTCACGCAACTCGGTTTCTGAAAAGACAGGTAGGTCATCCTGAACTGGAAGGATTAGCTGAGGTAGGTGTTCGAGGGTGTTAACAGCTCGTAGCCTAGCAGCAGATTCCCATGCACTTTGTGTTTCGAGAATAGCATGGACATCATCTTTTGTGAAGGACTGAAACTTTGTGCTGTTAGGGAGTTGCGACATGCTGGAGTGCTGGTCCTTGGCGTTCGACTGCCTAAAAGCCTCCTGGACTGAGCCAACTGAGACAGGGAGGGCCTCATTAAGGAGGTGACTGTACGGTCTTTGCAACAGCTTCCTTACTACAGTTGACTTAATAAATGGCTCGCGACTTAAGGCATCCGCCACCAAATTCTTTGAGCCAGGGATATATTTAATGTCAAAGGCATAAGAAGCCAGCTTTGCCACCCATCGCTGTTCACAGGCATCCAAATGTGGCTTGGTGAGGATGTGCGTGAGTGGGTTGTTATCCGTCCACACTGTGAACATATGTCCTTTCAGCCAATGGCTGAATTTGTCACACACCGACCATTTGAGTGCCAAAAACTCAAGGCGATGGGCTGGATACTTTCTTTGAGCACGTGTGAGAGACTTGCTTGCAAATGCCACTGGCCGGGCCACACTCTCACCTTCCTGAACCTGTGATAGGACTGCACCCAAACCATCCAATGAGGCATCTGTAAACAGAACAAATGGGCGAGTGAAGTCTGGGTGGGCCAGAATTACTGAGTTGACCAAAGCTGCTTTAAGCTCCATGAATGCAGAATGGTGTTCATCTGTCCAGTCAGCTTTAGTCAATTTGCGAAGCACAAGCTTACGCTTGGTGGGTATCTTCAACTTGCGTTTCTGTTTTGCACCAGCAAGCAGATTAAAGAGTGGCCTGGCTACAGAGGAATAGTTGGGGATGAAATGCTGGTAGTAGTTAATCATGCCTAGAAACGAGCGAACACGAGATGGGGAAGGGGTGACGCCATCTGGTTCCATGAGATCTGCAGTTGACATGTTACTGATGGACTCAACTTTAGCGGGATCTGTGGATACACCAGACTCATTGATTATGTGTCCAAGAAACTTCACAGATCTTCTCATTAGCCAACATTTCTTTGGAGCTAGCTTCAGGTTGTGGAACCGCAGGTGGCCGAACACCATCTCCAACCTCTTGAAAGTCACCTCTTCAGAGGGGCCAAACACCAGCAAATCATCAAGGTAGCACAATAGACTGAGAAAGTTCTGGTCACCAAATATGGACATCATCATCCTCATGAAACTAGCTGGGCTGTTGCACAGTCCCTGGGGGAGCCTGTTGTATTCGTACAATCCCATGGGTGTTGTAAAGGCAGAGTATTTTCGGTCATCTTTGTGTAGTGGCATGTTGTAAAAACCAGATGTGAGGTCCATTGAGCAGAAGAATGTGTTTCCTCCCAAAGCAGCTAAGCAGTCTGCTTGATGTGGTAAGGGATGGGCATCCTTCAGTGTTCGCCTGTTGAGCCATCTGAAATCTGTGCAGATCCGCAAGTCACCATTCTTCTTCCAAACTAGAACGAGGGGTGAGGCAAACTCACTGGTGGATTTGCAGATTATTTCCTTCTCCTCCATTTCATTTAGGACTTGACGAAGCTTCTGGTATTCAGCAGGCGGCACACAGCGATAGGGCAACCGAAAGGGTCTCTCATCAGTCAGTCGAATCCTGTGCACAAACCCTTTTGCCTCTCCGCAGTCTAAGTGGTGGCGGGGGAACACGTCCTCATAGCTGATCACAAGGTCAGCCAGCTTTCTCCGCCAACCATCTGACACGTCACAAGACTGCAGGTCCAGATCACCCAGACCAACACTTTTCAGTCTCTCCTGCAGACAGTCATTGTTTTCCGCTGTAGAATCAACAGTGCCTTTTACAGTGGTAGCTTGACATGAGCATGTAACATCTTGCATAACCAAGTCCTCCATAGCAAGACAGGTGTAGACATCAGCCAGTTTAGCATTTCTACGAATGGTTACAGGACAACTGGAAACATTTAGGATCTTGAGAGGGACAAACCTGTCTCCCCAGAGTTGTGTCAACGCTCTTGCCACCAATATGCCTCTGGGAGCAGAGTGGGAAGTTGTGGGTTCAGACATCACAGTCAAGCCAGGTGATAACCTTGTATCCTTGGGAAGTTTGCCCCATAAAAGATATTCAGTTCCAGCCTCCAAAGTGACAGCTGTGTTACATCTCACAGTTCCGATTTTGTCTGGGACATCCTCACCAGAACGACGATCCAGGCCAGCAAGCAGAGAGAGGAACTCCTCAAGCTCAGGGTGATCTAGGTTTGGTGTGGAAATAGCTTCCCAATAGGAGGAGTCATTCTTTAGCTGGTGTAACAGATGCCTGATGACATTGGAGCCCACGAGCAGATCAGCCTGTTGGTTATTTACAACAAAGGTGGGGACCAATAGCTTGCATCCATAGATCTCCATCTCCAGATCTATTATTGAAGTTGGTTTCACTCTGGCACCACCACATCCCACAAACACAACATCAGTACCCTCCTGATGAGAGATGACAACACCCGCATTAATTAGCGACTGCAGGGCTACTTCACTCAGTGAGCATGCCATCGAACCACTGTCCAGCATGGCATCAAGAGTCACTTTGCCATCGACTTTAACATGCATATAAAACAAGCTGTCACTCTTTTTGACCCTTTGTGTGTCCTGAACAATAACATTTTCTGATTCATTCAGTTTCTGTATATTTTGGTACAATTCAGCAGCATCAAATGTGTGGGAGATTTTACCTTGACCCATGTGACCTCCCTCCAGACATAGGTCACCTAGTTTCCCTGCATATTTTCTGTAGGGGAAGTATTGGTTGGGCAGGACCATCTCGTGTGGTCTGGGCTGAAACATGTGAAACAGAGTCGGTCTGAACGACAGTGGGTTTCTGTTGTATGCTTGTCATCATTGCACACCCGACAGTTCATAACAGATCTGGCCCGGCCCTTTGTGTGCCCACGACGAGCATATGAGGGCTGACCTCTAGGCTGAACTTTGGTGAGAAGCTCCCTGAGCATCGACACTATGTCACCAAGCATGGCACCCTCTTGTGGCTGACTGAGTGGGGCAGAAGCTGGAGACTGGAACTGGCATTGTACTTCTGTGCATTTACTCTGCTGCTTCATAGGCTGTAGGGAAGGAATACATGCCTGTGCAGCTGGAGTATCTGAATCACCTTGGAACTGCTGGTTCTGCACCATCGCAGGTGCATAGGATAAAGGAGCTTCAGTGGTTGGCTGCACAACATGATGGAGCAGAACACCATCAGGCATATGTACATTACTGGAGACTCTGGGCTCAACGTGTGTCTCAAAACATAGTAATTGGGCTGCAGATGGTTTGTGCATTGGTGTTTTAATACTGGACAATCGTTCTCTTTGGTGTTCATCTAGCCTCTCCTGAATGTCTTTGGGGGTCCACTCATGAATCTGTTTGTACTTAAACACTGAAGCTAGTTCTGTATCAGGGCAGTGCTTTACAAACATTTTAGCAATTTCACTACCAATATCCTCAATGCGTTTCCCTTGACGCTTCAGACCTTCCTCAGCCATGTCTGCAGCCTTATTAAGGCGAATCCAGTAATCAACAGCATCCTCTTTCTGGAGTGGCAGTGTGGAGTAGAAATCTTGTAGAGGCAGACAGGAGGATGTGTTACTGAAGTACTGTATCAGCATGTTATAAATTACATCTGGGGAGGATGTAGCATTTAAGGCAGGATTACTTCTAAGGCCAATCTTAACTACATCTCTGGCTCTACCCATCAACTTCCCCATAATTTCCTCTTTTTGCATAGAAACATCATAGTTCTGCCGTCTAAGGTAACCTCTCATCATTTCAATCCACTCAGTAACAGTGTACTTGTCAGAATTGTCACCTTTGAAAACTGCAGGTGAGGTTTCTGATTTTACAATGACATTAAACCTTTGACCATCTGAGACAGAAGCGTCCTCAACATTGGCACTGTGCTGTTTCTGACAGGTACCACAGGCTTCTTTTCCCCCAGCAACACCAGAAGATAACAGTTTATTTGCAATTGATTCCCCAATCTGTGAACCTAACTGATAAATCATGTCACTTATTTGGTGTAAGTCATTACCAAGAACAGGTGTTGAGTGACTCTGGCCCCCAAATAACATCTGACCAGTAGGTGTCTCATCTGGATCCCGAGCTAATCCCTGGGGTTTACTACTACTCGCAGGTAGTATAGGTGATGCACCCAAATCAAACCCAACAGCACAACCGGGCTGAAAAGGTAGTCCCATTACACCTCTACCTCTCCCAAAAGAGGGGTGACTGTTCACAGTTTTACCACTTGGTTCGAATCTCTTTGCCATGTTAAGATAAAGCAGAAATAAAACACACTCAATTAAAATCCAGTGGTAATTAGAAATAGAATTACTGTTTCCCTTAGTTCATAAACCTTGTGACCCAATTGTGGAGGTCTTGAAGTGAAGAGGTAACTTGCAGGTAGACGACACAGTAACCTCCGGTGAACCGCATCAAGCTGCTCAGCAATCCGGGAGTCACGGCACCAGTGTGACGGCTTCCTCTTGTCCGTCCGGGGTTATTGGAGTTGCCTCAAATCACCGCACACATACAATCAGGCCACAGACACAGGACTGTCCTTCAGAGCTTTTTACTGGCAGGATCTGATGTAAAAACAAGCACACAATAATACATCAGTGTGTGTGCGCTGCAACTGCATACAACGGTCTGTTCAAGGCAAAAAGAAAAACCCAAACATTACTAAAAGGACTGAAAAGCTAGCTTCCATTAGCGTGAATCTCGGCTATAAAGTTATTAATTTAATGCAAACACAGCTAACCTTTTTCAAAATATGCTCTAACAACACTTAAATATCTGTAACAAGTCCTATTGATATATTAATTAAAGGTTAAAATGACTTTAAGTGCAGAGCGGCTTCACAGTACACCTACCTCCACCAGCTTTCATTACTGCTTTGGTGGGAGGGGCCGTGAATGCGCCTGAAGGACCCGTTGCATGCAGTTGCGCCTAACCACCAGTAGGCGGCTCCAAAAACAAACAATCACTGCACATCACTTTTGGTGAAATTCACATTTTCATCTCTGTTACATCAGCGTAGGTTTTTTTTTTTTTTTTTTGGACCGGTGACCGGGTCGGCTTTCACAGCCTCCGTTGCTCGGATCCATGCCTTTTTCTTCCATCTTGTGAAGTTGTGTACATTCCTTTCTCTATCAACAGCTCCTTGTTTTACCCTGTGTCATAAAGTTAAGTTATGCAACGGGCGGTCCTTGATTGTGAGATGAATTAAGGATCCGTACCGGGCTCATACGTCGACTCAGGAGGTAAAAACGCGAGTTGCTCTGTTTTAATGAGAGATGGACGAGACACGACAAAATCTTTCTTGTACTGTTACACCTGGTGTAAGGTTCTCTGACGTTCTGCTTCCAGAACATGCCAAGACGCAGGAGACTGGTTACCGGCCGGGCCGCGCTGGTCCCGCCGCCCGCCCGAACGGGCCCGCATTAGTCGGGTGCCGCCGGTCGGGCACGGTGGGGACTAGTGGCAGCGGTTCGGTGCCAGCTGCTCTGGGTCGGAGGTGGTTCTGGTCTGCACTTCATGACGTGAATTCAAACAACATGCTGTTTACAGTCATAACGCTTTTTCTTTGCCTTTATTTCTTCCAGGGGGTCAAAAACCCACCATCAATATCAAGGTTTGAAATAAACAACACTTTCTCTGCTACTTTTAAGCTGAATAAATCTCTTGAGCAAGGGCGTCAGTTTGTTTTCAGAATTGCTGGGGACAATAAAGTAGGCTAGCACAGGGGTCGGCAATCCGCGGCTCTGGAGCCGCATGCGGCTCTTCCATCCATCTGATGCAACTCTCTGTGCTTGTAAAATAATAAATGGATATTTAAATAAAATGCTTTATATTTTACTGCATTAATTTTACACCTGTATGCCAATTCTAAATGTAAAGATTGTCTGCGTAAACCTGAACAGGTCCAACCCGGTCTGCGGTGGTTGACCGGTCACGCTTGTGCGTAATCATATAGGCACTTTATGAGCTGAAGAGGATGTGAGATTCTGGGCTTCTCCTCAGACAGGCTCCTGGATGTGTCGCCACATTGGAGCCAGGAACAAGCGCTATTCAGCCAAAGTTTCATCATCAGGGAACATTTTCTAAGTGACAAGTCTCTCTGAGAGACAGGGTTTGGAAAACACTCGCTTCAGTGGGAGGAATCTTCCCGCATGCGCACTGCATGGTTCTCTGCGTGGCTCTGGGGTTAATCAAGTTTAATTGTTTCTCTTTGCAACAATCTTCACAGGAAGGCAAAACAGTTAAACGGCAGGTTACATATATTTCCATTTGACTGTTTATTTTGACAGATGAACTCAAGGATGTTGCTTGGTTTGAAAGAATTACCCCCACGCACACTTATGCACATGGATGAGCTGACATTTTAATCGTTAACGCACACGCGGAGGTAAAATATTCCCATCAGAACATCAGAGCTCTTTATACTGGACACTGTGTTCAGCGCGGCTCGGAGCGCCCCCGGTGGACAGTGAGCTGAAGATCTGGGGTTCGCAGTGCAGCGCAGTGCAGAACCACGCGCATGCGATGATTTCCTCCCACTGAAGCGTTCTGGAAACCCGGTCTCTCTGAGGGATGTGTCACTTGGAAAATGTTCTTTTTATGAAATTATGAAACTTTGGCTGAACAGCGCTTGTTCCCGTCTTCCGCATGAAGCGTAGAGACATTTGATCACGCACAAAGTTTATGTGGAGCAGAAGCGGTCGGGCCACGGCAGGTGAAATGTTCCTAGCCTACATGAAGTGAAACTGTTTAATTGTAACATTAATGTGTTACTGGACACGCTGGTCTGGTTGGTTAGACCAGTGTTTGAAGTGGAAAACACACACACACACACACACTCACTCACTCACTCACTCACTCACTCACTCACTCACTCACACACACACACACACACACACACACACACACACACACACACACACACACACACACACACACACACACACACACACACACACACACACACACCAATTAAAATATAAAATAATGCTGATAGCGTGGACTAGAAGACAGGTGATGGTTTACGTATTTAAATGATGATCAGGCTGATGTAAAATGTAATCTCCATCCACATCCAGACACAATTATCCTCTAGTCTTTCTCTAGTCGCTCTGCTCTTGTCTGGGCTGATCAGCTGATGGTGCGCGCGCGCCTAACTAGCGGCTGATGCACATTTTACGCATTTGGAGAAGTGGACTGGATGCTGTGCGTTTACTGGAAGATGGTCCACTTAACGCACGGGTGTAGACTACATATTAATGACAAATGAATGAAAATTAAATTGTGAGTTTTAACTTCATATTTTATAAATAAAAATGACGGGGGAAAACATTTATGATGTCTTTTTAAACGAAATTTTCTAGCGTGACCTGCCTGCTTCACTTAAGTCACTGCTTATTAAGGTCCGTCCAAAATTACCGTGGGAAACGGGTAATAATGGTTCTTTGATGGGAACAGGGTGCCGACCCCTGGATAAGATCTGAGCTGGTAAAACAAAAATCCTCATCAGCAGGCGTTTTTGAAAGTGGGGGGGGACACAGCTGCCAATCACAAATTTTGCCGGGGACATGTCCCCGGCGTCCCCGGTTAAAATGACGCCTATGCTCTTGAGCCTATGGTTAACCTCTCTGACAAACAGGTTGTGCTTAACCCTTTGGTTCCTGATGCTTCTTCTCTGTCATCCATGTTAGAGTCTGAACATCTCTCCAGCATGGGTGTGAAATCTTCAGGCTGTGATCCACCGCTTCAGTCAGGGGTCTGCTTTACTCATCCGTCCACATCGTGCACAAACCGGCTTCTTTATCGGGGCGTGATGGAAACGTCAGCCGCCGTGAAACACTTGTGGTCTCCGGACGGAGCCACCTTCCCATTTGCAGGGTTTGTGCCCGGACATCTTGACCTTTATGTGAATGACCTTGTCACTTTTCAGGTGACCTCTGCTAATACGGTGGCCAATTCTTTTCTCCTTTCACAGGGGTGTGACTTTGTCTCTGGCCTCTGTGCTCTTTCCTGTGATTTCTCTTTCAGGTGACCACGACGGCGCAGGAAAACCTGCGGTTTCCAGCAGTCCAGTGGTCAGTGGCGATGTTGAGGAAGCCTCAGTGGTTGCTGCGCACACCTCTCTCACGGGCTCGGGAAGGCCACCCGGCCCGGGAGGTGTAGGTGGGTGCAGTGATGCCCTGCTCGGGGCCCCGCCTGACAAAGGGGGGGGGGGTGCCGAGTGGCACTGAGTTTTCCGTTGCGGACTTCAACCGGTTCGGGGGAACGCCTCCTCCGAGCGGGCGGATCATTGCAGGAATCGACACTGACCTTCAACCAATTCAGCTGACAACATTGACCTCCGACCTGGAGTTAGGTGCTACACCTTCTATGGGGCGGAGTTCTAGTCAGTCTGTAACTACTCTGGTTAAACTGGGTTTTTCTGATTCTGTGTGGGAACCTCCATCATTCTTGGGAATAAAGTATTCTTGGCTTCAGTTTTCAGGGCAGAACATGTTCCTTTCGATAGTGTCATGTCTGTATCTGATTCTAAACATGGCAAGGTTTGCTTTGACACCCGTGACACAACCATCCTTGGATCATTCATTTTCAGAACCTCAAAGTCCAACACCTCCAGGTCTTTGGACATCTGAACACCTACTCTTTCAGCACGATCCAGGTGACAATGTGCATCTTCTTGGTAGTAGGGCTTTTAAGAGCTTAAGAACTGTTCTTTGTTATGCTTCTCCTGTCTCACAGACACGGCATAAGTTTGAGAAACAAAAGGGGGGTGGGGAGCCTCCTCCTGCTTTGCGAGCATCATTTTCGCATTTCCAGTTCACTATTATTTCTGATCACAACAAAGTCGCCTCCGTAAAGCTGCAACCCAACTTTGAGCAGGTAAAATCAGGTTCTGATCTAACAATTAAACCATCAGCTTCACTCGAGTTCCAAACGGAACCCTCAGGTAAATTCAAACAAGTTTCCCTGTGGGTTCGTCACACAAGATACAAACAGTTTGATAACCAAATCGCTTCTGAGCCTGCTCCCACAGATACGTCCACACTCGTGTCTCTGTGGGTCCGCAATACCAGATTCAAAACGCTTGCTGAACAACACTATTCTGACCAACTCTATTCTGACCGGATTCTTTTCCACTAACTGGTGGACCGTTACAAATTCTCTCGTTTGTGGGATGAATTTTTAACAAATGTGATATCCTTTGAATTTTTTTTTTCAAAATCATTAGTTTAATTTGAAGAATTAAAACTTTTAATTGTCAAACTGGTTTCCTCATTGAACTGAAACACAGACACACAGATATTATCGTCAGTTTATCGATGAAAACAACCTTTGAGTCTTCTTAACAATATAAAATTTGGTTATTGATTTATTAAAAATTAATATTCCGAATTAATACGTAGCATGGTTCCTCTTTCATAAAAGAGCATAAAACCACAACGCTACAATAGGGCTGAGCTAAACCAGTTTCTCCTTACAAAGCCATCCTATAATTTGTTCTGACACATGTGTTTTAATGTAGTTCATTCAATATTCTTCCTTTAAAATCATCATTAGATGCCAATTAGGAAGAAAAAGATTTTTATTTAAAAATAATTTCTTTCTTATTTGTAAGTTGGTTTGTTAAATTAATTAAGTCTTTAAATTTCAATATATACATTAAACACTCAGATGACTGAAACAATATTTGATCAGATAATTTTGTTACATGCTTTAGACCAGTTACAGGTTAGAAAACTCAACATGAGGACATCCAGTCATTTCTTTCTTTTTAACAGTTTGTTCTCCCAGAATTTCCATCAAATCAGTGCAAAGTTTTTTGAAAGGAAAATTTTTGAACATTTTTGTCTTGATTGAAATGGTTTCTTCCTGGATGAAAGTACATCTAACAATGAGTATTGAACTCACACAAATTGTGCAGTATGGTGGTTTCCATCATCAGATGTTCACTTATGGGTGCAGCCGTTCCATCGGCTCGCCCCTGCTGCGACATCATTGGGGTAAATGGGTGCAAAAATCAGGAAGAAACTATTCAAACATAACACTCGTGTTCCTTCGACATTGCAGGTTAATGTTGCAGTTCTCTAATCTGTAAAGATAACTCATCACCAGCAGAGTGCAGCAGAATCTCTTGTATAAAACAGCAGATAAATCCTGAATTCTAGGCCCTGTAATTCTAACTCCACACTCAGTTTTTATAGATGATCTCTGGATTTGCAGGATATTTGTGTTTAATTTTTCAACAATACTTATGGTTCTCATTCACTTGCATTTTCAATTGTAGGTGAATGGAGATGACCCCGATGATTCAGTGCTGTTTGTGCTTGACTGTTGGGAGAAAACGCTGCTCATTGCGCCCTCGTCTGTGTTAACAGGTAAAAATGCACAAATAACACAATAACAGCAATGAAGGAGATTGGTTAGAAGTCCGGGTTAATGAGGGGAATGTTGGCCGTCTATCCCCGTATGTTTGTTTTGTAAAATGTTAGTTAGCGTGAGTAAGCTAACAGCTAAGCTAACTTTTGTGCTAGGACTTATTGATGCTGCTATAAATGTTGTGTGCTTGAAAGGAGTGAGCTGTAACTGACTTATTTTTTTTATTAAGGTCAAGCTAAGGATGTGAATGTTTATGTTAAGTGTTAATTAATTATTCAGTGCTGTTTGACTGTTGGAGAAGACGCTGCTCATTGCACTCTCGTCTGTGTTAACAGCCAAAATGGAATAAAACCTGCAACAAAACACACTGACTATTTATTCACGTGTGCAACAAATGCATTTGTTTTGGTTTAAAATGAATGCCTTGTGAGCCATTTTCTGTTTCAGGAAGTAGAAGTTAGCCAGAGTGGGGGACATAAAACGGCAGGACATGGAGTCTTGCTCATTATTATTCGTAAAATGTGGACATTTAGACTCTGATTGGCTTACACCAGTGTGACTCTTCCACTGTCTCCGTTCTGCAACATTAATGTTTTACCTTCACAAATAACACAAGCCTGAAGAATTTTTGCCATGTTGTGACATTGTTGACGCTAACGGTTAGCTTCTACTAGCCGAGACGCGCTCCAGTCTCTCCTGGACGTTAAATCAACAACAGCCTTCCCCAGTCATGACCCAAGATGTTGAGTCCTTTGCTGCAAACGTACAGCATGACGTAGATCTGTCTGGTTTTTCTGACCCGAGCATTTTCCCGTTTCCCCAAAATAGAGGTAGAAAACCATTTTCATGTTCAGTATGCATGTGAAACTCAGCGTGACCAATCTTATTTTAAAGAATAGCAACTAAACAGTTTCAATATTCTCATTAACATTGTATGTAGAGCTTAAAATGAATCAGGGTTTTGTCTCAGTTTAAGTCTAATATAAGAATAGCTCTGAACTACCTAACAGCTCATACACACAGTAATGAATTCCAGAAAACAAAGACGGCCCTGCATATTCAAAGCAACCAAACATCCACCCACGTCGGACTTTTTGGCGTATGGTGTGTGGGTGATAAAAAGCATCAAATTAAGATGGAAGCTTACAAAGCAGTAGTGTTTCAATCGAGCAGGACTAAATTTACGACGCAAATAAGCAAACAGGGACCGCTGGTGTCCACAAGGTGGTTTTTTAACAGCGTCAGGTAATGCTGTGTAGCGTTCATCATTTATTTCACACAAGCCACATTTATCAGAGTGACTTTTAGCAGGATGGATGGAGCTCATTATGTTGAAAATGGAAAAAATAAGGAAATTTCTCATTTCTTTCTTTATTTAAACTTAAGCAAAGCAGCAGACTGCTGTTGACTAACTGATTATGAGGGGGAAAAATATCTCCTGAAGCCAAAATAGAACGTTTTTCAATAACAGAATTTCCATTGCATCATTACGAGAAGAGGTGTTGGCCAAATTAAACACTGAGCATAAATGGTCATTTTTCTATGAGTTTCTTATTTAGCGACACTCTGATTGAAGAGGTTATTAACACAGTTTTAATGCAAACATCAGGCTGAAATTAGCATGTTCTCTCAAACATATGACTTTTTTTTAGGTCCAATGAGAAGCAAAAGAGCACAAATAAGAATAAATATATTTTTCTTTATCAGGACTCGTAGCACCTGAGGGGACACTAAACAGGGTCGATGTATCAGATGGAAGCAGTGATGACTGACTGTGGTTTAAATTGTGTTTTATAACATCAAGTGCCTCCTTAACTCTCACCCTCACAGACCACAAAACACTCCAGACTCATAAAGTATTCATTTTCCAGGCTGCAGTAATTTCATCTGGGCTGTCGGGTGTTTTATGAAATAAAACGGGTAAGCGTGAAAATGCTGCATTGGATAACTTTAACGTTTTACAGCCTCTTTCCGCCCAGAATCATGTGGTCATAAGCAGCTTCTTGCAACCCCTCCCAAAGAAAAACAAACAAACAAACAAACAAAAAACCAACAAAAAAGATGTCATCTTCCTTAAATTATGCATCATGCTGAAAAACGGTGTTGTTCACTTCTTCTTAAGATGCAAATTAAAAGTATCTGCTGGCTCCACATAGAAAGTGAAAAAATGAAGCAGCATTCCCTCCCAAAACCTCAGGAAGTAATCTGGACTACAAATTCTATGTGATCCGGGGAAAGTCGGTTTCATTATTTCCATCGCATGCAGTTAAGGGGAAGGTGTGCAAGTCATAGTGCGCCTGGATGAGGACACGCTGGTGGTGCTTTCCTCCATCGTTATCATCTGCTGTCTCTCGGGGCGCCTGAATAGAAAAGTTACGTTGGGCAGTCCTGACAAGGGAATATTTTGTTGGGAAATAATAATTTTTCTGGGTGATTTCCGAAGTCAGATGACAGAATTTTGGGAAAAGTTGTGTTTTACAAATCTAGGATGTCCTGCTCTGCCTTTCATCATTGAAGAAAAGCAGTATATTTAGATTCCATGGTATACAGCATCTGAAACCGTTGAAATCCTGGGAGTCACTTGGAATATTTGCACAGTTTTTTCTTGTACAGGTTTGCATTAAAGTTGGAGTGGGATCTCTTTTCTGGAGCATTTTCAGTCATTGCCTGAAATTCTCTTCACATGGAAACCAATAAATTTAATGTTTTGTCAAAAAAATTTAATAATTTTAATTGTCTCTGAAATGTAAAATCCTGGTTAATGTCCCATTCTTAATGGTTGGATCATAATCCATCCAACTGCCCTCTGACACCCACCTCTGCTGGCACGAATCACACCTTCTTGGTGCCGCATGCTGACAGACAAGGCAAGCCATTGGGGTCCCCAATGCCATGCCATTTGACAGCACTGTGGACTGTCACACATTCCCTGACGGGGCTTTTGTTTACTTTAATGAGTTTCTGCACATGCTCTGTTTAGTGTCTGGTTCTTGTCTTTTTGGCAAAAATTTGGGTGACGGAGTTGTCATCTGTGAATGCAGCCAGTCTTGTTGGCTGGCAGAGCTGTTTGTCAGTTTGATGCCTAGGCAACAAATGTGTGTGTGTTAATTTGTATGGGGAGCCATCCAAGAGGGAAAAGCAAATCTTAGGTGGATCGAAGTGGGTTCGCAAAATATTTTCCACTTGTTCACTGTGTTTCCCAGATTGTTGGCAGAACTTTTGAAGGTAAGAATAAACCAAGAAAGCCAACGACTGCATCATTTTTCACCATAAAAACACTGCGTTATATAAGCTAGCATACTAAATTGTTATACCATTACAATAGGTGCGTTATATTAGGATAAATAGCAGAAAAGGTGCCAACAACAGATCGAACAGGTGAGATAACGTTATGTTATGGTAGTTTGACAGAATCTATTGTGTCTGGTGTTATACCATTTTCTGTGGCCATTAGATTCTGTGACTTTTGGGGGGGTGGGGGGGGGGTTGGGCTGAAGGAAGAGGTTTGGACCTTTGAATTTTTTCCCCCTTAAAACAAAGCTGTCTTGAACAGCTTTTTCAACAAACGTCTGTCCTACCTTTAAATTGATTTGTCCACCTATTTTTTGTGTCTTCCAGGGGTTTTCTTCTCCTCTATCCATTCCTGGATGACTGCAGTTAAAGAGCACACTCAGTAGGGTTCCTCAAGGATAATGAAGGATGCACAACAGGCCCATGAGAAGAAGAATTCCTGAAGCGCTGCTGAGGTTTTAAGTAGAAGACCCAACATGAAAGAAAACTCAACCCTTCCCCCTTCTTTTTATCTATTTAGTCTTAAAACCACAGGTTCTCTCCTACATCACACCAACATGAGACAGACTTCTTGATCACAGACATTCGTTACATCTTCATAGTAAAACATGGGGACTAATTAGAGGCTCTAATGCAAATAACTAATGGTCCTTGGCACTCTGCAGTCGCCCCACAGCAGGTTTCCTTCTCTCTCGCTCTCTTGCTGCACCTCATTGAAATACCATAAATGTGTAAGTTGCAGTCACATAATGATTCAGCTGCCTCTGGGGGAGCTGAAGTGAGGACAGCCACTGATAGCAGAGTGATAGTGCAGTCAGCAGATTTAAAAGCAGCTGCAGAGGCTTCTTCTTTCCATTTGTGCGTAAGGTGAGATAGGAGAAAAATGACGACAGATGTTCCACTTCACTGTTTCGTATAATTCAAACCATTTAGTTAACGTTTTCTATTTATTCTGATTTATTTGGTCTGTTTCAGGCTCGCTAACCAGAGTAATGCAAACGTAGACCATGAACAATGTCTGTTATAGTAAAGTGTGTCAACGTCTAGAATTTCTGCTGTGCTTGAGTTGCGCCAAAGATGTGCACGCTGTGCACTGATTTGCAATTCAAAAGCGTTTCAACCACCTCCAATTTTAGAATCAAAATTTAACTGCTTGAGGGAAAGTGATGGAATTGTGTCTTTGTCTTGTGAATGGATGAATAAATGAAAAAATAAATCAGGTTTTAGAGTGCAGTGTACTTACTTTCAATAAAAGATGCATTTGTCTTTGTTTTTCCTACTTTTATAGGGCACTGGTGATTAGGCTCTAAAGCTGACAGGTGCACGGACCTGCTGATGAAAAGCGGCGTGATGGATCAATTTTATGAGTCTGTAGCTGGCAGATCACTTTCAGCCCTACCAGACTAAACACAGTTCAGTCAAACATAATGGACATTTCTTTCTCTAAAAATCATGTTCATCAGAAAGTGCTGTCCAATTATTCAAATGTTATTCTGTCCTAAAGCAGTCCACGGGGTTGACTCAAGCAGGAATATCTAAACTGTTCATTAGGCAGCACGTTGAGGTCAACTACACTTCTACCGAGACCGACATGGGGGAGGAATTTAGTGTTGTTACAACCCCTCTGGCTATTCTGTGGTAGAAGGAAGGGGGAGCATAAGTTGTGAGCCTGATGTTAAAAGCCAAAGTTTTTATTACAAAAGGATTAAAATAACTGAAGCTCCAACCATGGTAAAAGTAATAGTAAGACATATTATTGTAGTTGTATTAACATTAGACAATAATGTAATGCTTTAACAACTAGATTTACTGTTATTGCTTCATATTTGAGGCTCGGTCATCGGGGAGGGGCTCGGAGTAGATTCGCTGCTCCTCCACATCGAAAGGAGCCAGTTGAGGTGGCTCGAGCATCTGGTCAGGATGCCTCCTGGACGCCTCACTGGTGAGTCTGGTTTACAATCGGGAGCAGCTGATTAACATCGGAAAGGCTGAAATAATACCTCAACTGAAGCCACAAATCCCAAATGAGCTAAAACGCAAGAAGCGTGGATGCAGAGTGGGAGCAAAACGGAGACAGAGAATGAAAAAATTCAAACCATCTCTTCCATCGATCATAATGGGCAATGTGAGATCACTGGCCAACAAGATGGAGGGACTCCAAGCCCTTTCAAGGACTCAGCCAGAGTTTCGGCAGTTTCGGAACCGCTGGAGGAGATGATGCGAAGAAGGATTCTCCAGAGAATCAAGAAAATGATGGACAACCCTGAGCATTCTCTTCACAAGACTGTCCGACAACGGAAGAGTGTCTTCAGTCAGAGGCTTCTTCAGTTTGGCTGCAACACTGACCGCTACTGGAGATCCTTCCTGCCAACAGCCATTGTAATATACAACAACTCTTTGATGACTTGATTATTATTATTATTCTGAGCTACTACAGCAATCAATTTCCCTCTGGGATTAATAAAGTATTTTTGAATTGAATTGAATTGAATTGAGGAGACCTAAAGGTAGACCCAGGACACTTTGGAGGGACTATGCCTCTCACCTGGCCAGGAAACGCCTTGGGATTCCCCCGAAGGAGCTGGCCCAAGTGGCTGGGGAGGGGGAAGTCTGGGCCTCTTGACTTAAGCTTGGTTTATGCTTGACGCATTCACTTTCCGCGCGGTGATGCGGCTCGCGTATGGAGGTATGGGCACCTCTGGGAAAATGTGAAGGCGTTTATGGTTTGTGCGACTCGTCTCTGCGGTGAGCCAATATTCTCCTAAACTGAACGGGGCAGCATGGAGCTCCACAGCATGTATCCAACACGACACCATAGTAGAAGTAGAAATTACTGTTTACAACATGGCATTTCAGCATTTTTAACAGCGTCCTCGTCTTTTCCGACAGTGCGAGCTATTTCTCTCTAAGAATTATTAACTACATGTTGATCACGGTGATCTCTGAGAGCTGAAGCATACAAATGTCTGTATTTACGAACCTCTGCCATACTAGTTCTTGCCGGTCCGCCATGTTTTTCCGCGTCCGTCCGTCCGCGTGGTTAGAAATTTTCCGAGGTGGGCGTTGCGGAAATCTTGAGTCGTGCGGAGACGCGGTGGAGGGGCGTGGTTGTTAAATTGACGCAAAATGACGCAACTTTTCCACGCGGAGCCGTGCGGACCTCGCGGACGCGTCAAGCATAAACCAACCTTAAGGCTACTGCCCCTGCTACCCCACTCCGGATAAGCGGATGAAAATGGATGGATGGATGGATGGCTGGATGGATTGTCCGTGAGTTGTTTGTGCCAAGCAGACTGCTTTTTTCAGCCCTGCCTCCCTGGGATTTGTTTTGTGCTGAGTCGGCTCAGCACACCCACCTATGGACTGATTGGCTGCCTGAAGTTATGTCACTATCATGCCTAGAGGGTTGCCACCTGTCACGCATTGAGCGTGAGACACACGCATTTTTGAACCTCTTCACACGCTCTCACGCCACACCTCCCATATCTCACGGTAAGCTCACGGAGGCGTAGCAGTCCGTGCCCACCCTCCCAGCCCTAGCCCTACTTACTAGTGGGAGCCTCTGATTGGTGTAGGTTGAATCTGCCAGAGGCAGCTTCCACAGAGTGCGATTCATTAGCAATCAGAATGCAGTCAGGTAAATATCTTTGACTGCAGTTTAGACCGGATTTGATTCGCTTTTACCTGTAGTGTAAACGTAGCTTTACGCTCAGTGTGCTGACCAGAAACTGCACTAATCCACTTTTGTCGTTCAGGTAGGAACACTAGAGGGAGGTCTCTGCCTGCTTTATGGCAACAGCAGTTTACTGTGCTTGTAGCTAATATAAAGGTTAGCAGTTAGCATTTTCAGTTCGCCAACCATCAATAAAAACACAAGAAGAAGAAGAAATTTGCTTTTTTTTGTTGGTATTAGGTGGAGCTTGAAATGAAGATGTAAGACAGTAAAGTCTCCAGAAGATAAAAAGATATTTTTAAAAGCTCTGAATCCCTGAGGTGTTTAAACCCGTAAGCCTTGCTCTTGTTAGCTTAGCATCGGTTTGTCTATCTCCTCTAAACCCCAGTGAGTTGTTACATGTAAACTAGGAGACAATGAGTAATTTCAACGCGCCTATACATCTTTCTTTTCTAATCAGAGGAAGAGATCATAACAAACTTCATTAGCTGGATGGTGAGTTTCTCTTATCTGTTAACCCTTCCCCATCTCATCCAGCGGTAATTGGAACAGCAGATGTTAGAAAGTAATTGGCACATCGTTCAGACTGCTCAGCTCTCCAACATACAAATGTTCAATCTCCCACTGTGGTTCTTGATTTTTCACACACACCACCTTTAATTCGGATACACTCACAGTCCCCTCAGACACCATTAGAACCCAGCAGGGTATTTTAACACCCTTTTCAAATGTGCTTCCTGATTAGATTGATGGAACTGGGGGGGCCGTGGACGGCTCTGGATTGAAAAAGATGCTTAATGTGGTGAAAGATGCTCATGAATAAACACTTAAGGAAACTGAAAGGATACTAAAAGAAAACTGAGGAAATTAAGTCTTTCACTGCAGTGATTGTGGAAATTATTCAAATCAAATGATTTCATACAGATTTATAAATAAATGAAACAACTAAAATATTATATTTCACCAATAGTATTATAATATACTGTATTTAAATATTTTTTTAAATAAATGCACTGGGGGCAGCACCAGCCCACAGAAAACCAGTCAGTTCATTTCACGGGCAACAGCTCTAGTAGGCATTTCTGCAGTCAGCATGCCAATTGCATGCTCTCAAAGGTTGCAACATCTGTGGCATTGTGCTCTTTGATCAAACTGCACATTTGAGGGTGGCCTTTTATTGTGGGCAGTCTAAGCCAGTACATTAGTCATGCTGTCTAATCAGCCTCTTGATATAACACACCTGTGAGGTGGGATGGATTATCTTGGGAAAAAAAATGCTCACAAACACATGTAGACAGATTTCAGAACAATTTTTGAGAGTCATGGGTGTTTTGTGCATGTAGACAAATTTTCAGATGTTTGAGTTCAGCTCATAAAAAATGGGAGCAAAAACAAAAGTGTTTCATTTTTATTTTTGTTCAGTGGGTGGCTTAGGGTAGAGCCGTATCACAGCCGAAATTCAGACGGCAGGTTTCAGAGTCTTATTTCTTCGTATTTGGACATCTTGCCTCAGTTTGGATAATAGCAATATGACCACCACCGACTTGCAACATTGATGTTTTATCTCCACACGTAACGCAAACTTGGAGGAGTTCTGCTGTGTGGTGAAGTTGCCAATGCTAATGCTTAGCTTCTGCTAGCTGACAGATTCTCTGCTGTTTCCTGGATGCTAAACCAACAACAGCCTTCCCCGTCGTGAGTCAAGATGGGTGAGTCCATGAATGTTAAGTGACAGCATGACGTAGATCAGGATTTACTAATCCCAGAGTCTTACTGTCTATTTTCTATCAGAAGCTATTGCTAGAGATAGGTGTAGGAGACTATTTTCATGTTCAGCTTGCATGAAAAACTCAGCATGACCGATTATAATCAGAAAAAAATGTGAAAAAATGTTTTTGAATGTTTTTTCAGAGTTCCACACCTTTAAAAAACACACACCGTGTTCTTTTAGATTATAACAATGCATCCTAAACGTTAAAAACTTTTAAACTTCAAACCTGTTTATTTTTCATATTTTAGTGTGTTTAGACTAGGCTGCAGGAAGGTTAACTGTAACACACACACACACACACACACACACACACACACACACACACACACACACACACACACACACACACACACACACACACACACACACACACACACACACAGTGATAAATGTTTTATGAAGCTAATCCACTGCTAATTAACCTAATTGCTATTTCAGATGTTCTACTTATGATTTCTTTGATGTGTTAAACAACTTTCACTGTCTTACAGCTTCCCAACATTTGCAATAAAGAGTGAAATTATTGGAAATATCCACATCCTTTTTTAATTCGTTAATTTGTTTCCTCTCATATTTTTTAAGCAATTGTTTTAAATGAAAGATTTTGGCAGGAAATATTTTCATGCAGTTTAAAACACACCTGACTGACCAGGTTTCATGTTTTTAGATACTGAATAAAACAAAAAGCTGTTTTCAGAGACGAGGGGCCTTTAATTGAGTTAAATGTCCACAGGGACTCTGTCACCTGACCGTATCAATTACTGTCACCTTTCCCTCTTTCAAGACATGATTGAATCCGGGATTTAAATTGACAAGGCTTTAGAAACACTCAACTATCAAAAGCTCTTCAGTCAAATCCCTCGCGACAAATTTAGACAAAGACAAATTGCATTTCACCTCTGCAGGACGCATCACAAACATCACGATATCAGACTGAAATTCTAATGAGGTGTTTGTATTTGAACAACAGCACAAGAAAAGAGAAAAAAAGGAGGAGACGTATGGATGAGTTGCAGAGAAAGAATACGGACAGTCCTCGACAAACAGCAGGGATTCAGTGCCGCAGTGTAAAAACCGAGGCTTGAGTCAGTGACACCAGCTGAAGCCCAGAGGAAACAGGCTGCTGCGTGGGGTTTAGCTGCAGTCCCTGTGGAGAAATCCCAGTTCACACACAAAAAAAGACACGTTTGTGTGCCTGAAAAGCTGGAAAACAGAAAAGAGATTTTATTTTAATGTTGCAATGTTCCAAAGCATCTGTGGTAACGCACCAGATATTCCAGTAAACATCAGCTTCAGTGGCCAGTTAGGGCTGAGCGTAAGGAGACAGAAAACTGCAGCCGTTTCAGGTGTTAGCTGCTTCAGCAACAATGCCGCTCTGTTTTCTGTCCATTCTCGTAGGAGAAACCAGGTTTCTGCTGAGCTTCGCCTTTATGGCACATTTTCTCTGCACGGACTCTCCCTTAAGCTCTGTGCAAGTGAGATAATGTATGCTGCTTATTCCAGCACAATTTGTCAGGATCAGACTCATCTCAATAATGAATGCAATTACAGGTTCCCCCTTTATGCCTAACATGCTGATCTACCCATTACTGTAGAGCCTGGCTGTTTCATGGTCCTTTTAGCGAGCTGTGTGTGTTCTGCCGCAACATGGCTCGAGGAAATTAATTCAGAAGTACACATAGAGAACAACTGTTAACCTGCTGTTATATTTGAATTCATGAATACAATGAAATAAAGAGCTTTTAGTGAAAGGCTAAATAAACCTATGTTTTGATTTTCTGTTCAGAAGTGCAGTTCATTGAAGAATAATGAAATATATTTAATTTTGAAGACCAATTAAAACGGTTTTGAAGTATTTTTTTTCATTTTCTGGCCAGGCTTGTGAAATAATTGCATTCTTGTTGCACTGCTTGAGTGTCTAAATTAGTAAAAAAAAAAAAAAAAAAACAGTTTTAGCGTTTACACTTTTTTCCACCAAACTTGGATGCAAATCAACATTTGTTTGCTTGATTGATAAACAAAATCTCATGCTCGTAGATAGATCACCAGCTTTGAGTGCAGAAAATAGTTTGTGCTTGAAGTTATAAAACTGTCCCATTTGAAGACCAAGTTGCATTTGCAGTGGTCTCTAGTATAAATAAATGCCTTGTGAGCAGATTTCTGTGGGAAAAAAGCTCTTGCGCTCCTGTTTCAGGAGAAGAGGCTAACAGCAACGTGACTCTACCTCTGACTCCCTTTGCCTTGCAACATTGATGTTTTATCTTCACAAATGTAGCGGAGGCAAATTGATGATTGTATCTGCTATGACCACGAAGATGTAATATTCTATACAAATATAAAACATTAACCTGCAAGGTCTTTATTGTAATTATTCAGAAGATTCTAGGATTTAATTCAGAAGATCTGGGTTCTTTGCTTTTTCAGTGATCAACCACGCTACGTGTTACTTCAAGAAAGAGTCAGGTTTATAAAAGTAAGAACTTATTTTACAAACAATTTAAAACATGACTAATGAATTAAGCATTTACCGTGAGTGGATGTAACTAAACCAAGCCCCCACAATGCGGCTCTAATAATGGTCCCAACCCGGAAGTAAGAGAAATTGCAGTTCCACCCTTATCCGCTGGGGGCTGGTGCCAGAAGCGAGCAAATCCTCATTGACTCCCATGTTAAAAATGCCGATTTCACAGCAGAAATAAACATGTTTACAGCCTGGTACCAAAACATGTTTTTCGTCTAAATTATCTAGTTTACACTCATAACAACTCTGAGGGGGGTGAATTTTTTTTCTCACTCTTCTGTTTAAGTGTATTGAAAGCCTAAAATTCTAAATAATTAATGAGCATCAGACCCACGTGACCACAGAGCCGTTGTCAAATTACAATTGTCGGAGCTGCTAGCTCACAGGAGACACAGCAGCCCCGTTCACTGATGGTAAACAGCAGTTTTGTGCCTCTTTCCTTTGTTTTGAAAGGAGAAAAAAAAACTGACAGTCTCCATGCAGGTTTAGTTCTATTTAATGCAAACAAAAGATAAAGTAATTTAATGATACGTCTGGTGTTTTAAACCACTTACGAGTCTGTTCTCAGCAGAACTCGGTAACTTCCTGGAATTTTCACTGCTGCCTGTTTGACTAGATTCTCTTATGCTAAATCAGACTTATTATCACTTGGGATTTTTTGAGAACTCTTCAACTCACTGAAACACACTTATTCCTTTGAGCTCCTCTGAAAATCTGTTAAATGTCTCAAACTTGAGATTAAAAATGTGATTTCTTTCCCTCACAAACACTTGATGAGAACACACCATCAGACAATCAGAACAAATCAAAGCAAAGTCAGTAATTATTACTGTTTAATGGAGCGCCTTCTTGTCTCATAAACCTTTCATTACATAAATGTAAAAGTACAATCATTTGTGTAAATGTGCAACTTGCAAACTGAATTCATTTGCATACATTAACTGGATTTTACAACAAGATGCAAGCAACATGAGACACACAGAGATGTGGGATTATGTAAACAGGTCAACAGAAATGATACACGATGCAGCCTTAAAATTCAAACAAAAACTCTTTTTAAAGTTTTGATCAGCCAAAAAAAGTAAAAAAATACTTCATAGTTTGGCAAATATCACAAATTTTCTGCATGTTTTAGCCAAATGAACTCAAATACAGTTTGATCATTCAACAAGCCGCTTTAACAGTCAAAAAATATGGAGAAATGTTCTTTCTTTGCAGAAAAACACAGCGAGCTAAGTGGTATGCATCACACTGTGATTATGGAGAAATATGCTAAAAAATAACTGTGCCACGGCACCATCAACCACATCCACAAATTACACGCTAACAAAAGCTTCACTTTTTTATTTTTACGACATATTGTTTTATTATTGGGCTTGCCGAGTCAGCGTGACATTTTAATGAAGAGCTGTTGCCCACAGAGCAATGTGAATACAGTGTTTACAGCAAAATAAACGCTGTATGAGGTCATTTCAACAGTTTGAGCTTAAATCAACCCTGAAAACGTGACTTTACCTGGCACTTCTGTGGTGTGAGTCTGCTTCGCTCACAAAGACATTCCACAAGTTTGAATTTTGTACCTTTCTGGTCCATGGTCGGGCTTGATGATGACATGAATCAACGCAGTACACCTAAACAAGTACATACACTTCTAAAACCACCTGTTTCCTCTTAAAGAAGAGGCTGTAAAAACCATTGCAATCAATGGAGATCAACTTTGCAAAGTGCAAAAGAATTTGTTAATAAAGAGGTCTGTAACCGTTCCTATTAAAAAGTCATTTTAATCATATTTCCTGCGATATATGAATTGTATTGCCCCACACAATCTCCTTAGGACCCAGAATATTCATTACTCTGACTATGTCAACTGTAGTTTATATTTCATTGTGAGATTATAATTTTTTCTACCTAACTGTATGCGTTCATATGTGTATAGTCCTATGAAAAAGTATTTGCCCTATTAGAGATTTCTTCTTTTTTTGCTACTTTGTCAAACAAATTAAAATGTCAGATAAAAATAACCTTTGTTATTGTAAAATATCGTTTTCATATGAACATGCTACTTGTTAGGTTCAAGAAGTTTTCCAATCCAAGCTGGCTCTGTGAAAAAAAGGCCCTTAAACCTAATAACATGGTGTAGCACCCTATGATCAAGCGTTTGTGATAATTGACAATCAGTCTCTCGTGCTGCTATGGAGGGATTCGTCCTCCTCTTCTCAACAGAACTGTTTGATTTCAACCTCATTGGAGGGATTTCCAGCATGAATGTCCTGTTTAAAGTGAAAGGTCAGACGCTGTCCTTCAGGATTTTCTGCTGGTTCCTTCAATTATAGCAACTAGTTCTGAATCTCCTAAACTGTTGGTACAATGTTGTTTTTAGAGGTATGCTATGCTAGAGGTGTGTTAGAGGTATGCTAGCTTGGCAATCCATCCTATATATGTGAATATTTAGTCTGTCCACGACCCACATGGTGAAGTTGGGGTGGAATCTACCTCTGTCTTTCAAACTGTCTCCACATGCTATTGGACCACAAACGGGGTGACATATAGGGAGCCTAAGTCTCCTCCCTTTCCGGTCGGCTCTTGGGTCTCCGGAAGAACAAAAAATTGAATACAAGTCAACGGGGCTAAAAGTGCTATTTTCTAATCCGCTTTGCCTTACGCCCTGGATCGCACATATGTTGTACTGCAATTTAAATGAAAAGTAATGATGAGTGTTTCAACCACGCCAGTCACGTACTTTGAGATTTATCAGCTTGTAATAGTTCGTAATTAGCATAACTACACACCAGAAACTGGCACGTTGCATATGTGACGTCATCACATAATCTCCTCTCCCCAAAGTAGCTGCTACTTACCAGATGACCAGATTTATGGTGGTTCTTTCCTTCTGTGGGAAGTTTGCTGAACTTACAGCCCTTTTCCCTCAGTTTTCTCCGTGTCTGGTTCAATGACGTCACTTTCGTGAAGCGCATTTGTAGTGCTGGAGTTATTTTCACACAAAACCTAAAATAGCATTTCCCCCTGTTCGAAAATAAACACATTTTTGGTATCAAAATGTGTCTATAAAATTCACGGACATCATATGTGAAATCCATGGCACAAAACAAGCGGAATTAGAAAATAGCATTTTTAGCCTCACTGACTTGCATTCATCTTTTCATTCTTCTGGGGACCCATGGTCCGTAAGTAGATGGGCGTGACTTAGGCTCCCCATTCGGATGTCAGTTAACACGGCAGTTATCCATACACAGTCAAAAAAAAAAAAATCAAATCCTTTTCCTTACAGGTGTGTCTAGCCACGCTCCATTGGTGCCTCAGCAGACCCGAGCAGTCTTGTGTCTTGCCATTTCCAACACTCTTGGTGGGCCAGTCGCAGAACTCTTTTGGTTTGAAGGGTGAAATGATGCAGCTGTGGAACAACTAAGATGGCGACGGCTCGTTTGGAACGGCTTTGGCATCAACTTTAGACTTGGGCTTTTCTTTGAGTCAAGAACAGGTAGAGGTACTTAAGTCCTTTATGTAGAAAAATAATGTTTTTCCATCTTCTTCAACAGTGTCAACACTGTTTCTCCTTCTCTGACATTATTGAGCTGCGAACCTCTCACACCAGTGGTGTTCTGCTGCTAAATACACAAGTGCATAATGAATGGAGGACCCAGTGTGGGAGTGTAGCGGTTCGGCGAGACCGACAATCAGATGGTACAATAGTTTCTTTCGGTCCAAAATGGGGCACTGGCGGAGGTTTTTAGACAAATGTAAGAGAACCTATCCATCCATCTATTGTCTCTACCCACTTGCCCCTATCTCCAGTGATCTCTGGGCAAGTGCTCTGCTGCAAAGCAACAGCACTGGCCACTGTGCAGCCCATGCAAGAGAACCATTTTATTGATTTTTTTCACAATATATTTATGGCTATACTATGTTAAAAGGTTGTCAATAGACATTAAAAAATGTTTTAAGCTAATTTGTTTTCCAAATTTGCTTCTATGTATGATGTTTGTCATTTGAAAACTGTATTTTTCATCTGATACTTCTGAGTGACTAAAAAAGGAAAAACAGAAGAAATCTGGGGTTGAAGTACTGTAAATAACTACTAGACAACCAAGTGCAATCCCGGCACGAGACCCGTGTCCACTACTGGAATTTCTGAGAAATTTTACCAGCCCTTTGTGGTATTTGCATGTCTCCATTTCACTGGGGCAGTCCGAAATAACCATTTTACGTGACCTTTCAAGAACCAATCCAGTACCTGAACCTGGTAGGGTCAATGGGCGGTACTTGTTAGCTTGTGCTAATTGGTTGTGACTCAGTAGGAGCTGGTGAAGCAGAATGGAAAGAAGAAAAATAAAAAGTAGCGTTTACACTGCCTTAAAGTGACTATGTGTATTTTCTCTAGCAATAGGGGGCAGTACTTACCAAAATCATTGCAAGCAAGCAGTATTGTTGTGTTCGATTAAGACCTTCCCAACGGATGGCCATTAGGGTCAAAAATCCCTGAGAGCACAACCTCCAGCAAAATGACAAACACTCCAGACTCTCTTTCATCACTGACAACGAGTGAAGAGGCAAATGTGTAAAACAACGTTTATGAATGGCGAAGGTTTTGTAACCACTTCCTACAAATCAGTAAATGCATTTGGTCCTCACGGGCTCCCGTATAAGGAAACATGGCGTCTAATATGGCGTCGCCCAGAGACTTAGACCCACTCCTTTGTATTTTAGACCAGATTTTTAATTTCTGTTACAAAGCTGCCAATATTTTTCAACAACTGGGCTTCATTTACTTCATTTTCAACAACATTTTGATGGATATTTCCAGAGATTAATGGTAAAAACTACACATAGTCTCTTTAAAATTTTAGTTTCAAACCTCCCAATGCAAAAAAATGTGGCGGGATCCCCCCACCGCACTGTGATTTACTCCGTTTGTGGTTTCCTACAGAGCGCTGTAAAAAATGATGAAACTTGTCATTGAACGCAGCTTTCCACGTCACACAGCTGCTCTCCCCGTCACACAGCTGCTCTCCCCGTCCCCTGGATGGATTAAATTATGGCGCACTTTGACAGAATAATACTTGCAATGCTGTTATTGTCCGTGGATGCCTTTTGGCGCTGATAAGTCACTCTATGCTGAAACGTTACGATGTACTGACGTCTTAGCAAAGTCCCTAAAGGGCCAATTTAAATATCACCACAACGCCTGAAAGGACAGCCATTGTATTTTCTGTCACCTTATTCCCCTTCCAGAAATTCTTCAACTCCAAAAGTGGAAAACCTTTGGTTGCAAATTTTAGGTCTCACCCCTTCCATGCAGATAACTAGGACATGTTTTTTTTTTCTTTCTAAAGAAGCCACGTGTGGCTCCTGGGTGACAGGTTGCAGACCCCTGCTGCAATATGACACACACAATGATCTTTAAAAATTAATACTGCACATGATAGAGTGAGTTCTGTAAGACAATTGCTTAATTAAGCAAGACACACATTTTTTATTACTTAAAATAACAATTCAATGTCTAAATTACCGGTATATACTTATTTAATGAAGCAAATAAGATCCGTAAAACTCTTTCATTTTTACTTCTCAGTTATTTTTGTGTAGCTTGAATGCACAATTGTATGCAAATGCTCGTGGAAAGTAAGGTTAAGGATACAGAGCAGCTGGTTTTATAGCTTTACATAAAACTCCTGAAACCTCCACCTGTCTAAGTGAAAAAAGTGAGGATTCACACCAAACCCTGTCCAGGATTGATTATTCTAAAGTGAAGTGGCGGCAATCCACCTCCGTTCAACTCTTGGAGACCATTTACAGCAGGGACACTCTTTTTGAATTCAGAATATCATTTGGTAAAGCATGCTCATTTTATTTTCATTCCAGTATGTGAGAGAAGCGTGAGTCTTCCTGATTCTGCTGCAGTATGCTCCACTAGAAACAGCTGAAGGAATGAACAGATGTGTTGGGGAAAATCTCCGGCTGATTCTCGGTAGAGAGTTTGATGATAACCGTGTTTCCGACATAAAACGTGACTAGGTAATGAGTAGTATTATCTAGCTTTGTTTACGTCATACACATGCTTGTTTCCGAGCATCTTCTACGTTTTACAGCCTGCTGTGTAACTTCTTCAGCCATCTATGTGTAGATATTTGAAAGCTATATGTAGAAAAATAGATTTTAAAGAGTACTCTGTTGTATTTACAGCCATGGCTTTACCATAATGGCATGCAGAAAAAACAAAAACAAAAAACAAAGACAGGCCTGAAGATTTAACTACCTGAGTCATCTTCTCTATTCGTCTTAGTCAGACTCAACTAAACGATTTCCGATCTATGCACTAAAACCAGCCAAAAATAGCTCCAGGTTTAACTCCTAAGTGTAAAAAGTCCCTTAAAGACATTCCGTTTCTTACATTAATATACAGTATATTAATGACATGTCTGTTATTCACAGTGTAAGGGCGAGGAGACAGAGCAGAGATCTGCGAGGAGAAGGAAGCAGGAGGAATTTGCTGCAGTGCATGTAAAGTAAATGCAGAAATGACAGAGAATGAGAGGAGGGTGGGCTTAGAAGCTGAAGATGGATGGCTGCGGTGGCTGAACTCTTGGCCGATATTTTGCAATGTGCAGGAACTTTGGATCTGAAAGAGGTCGATTACTGTCACCGCAACTTCCCTCTGCTGTTGTCATCAGCTCTCCTCACTAGTTTGCCTCTTTCATCACTGTCACAAAGATGGCTTAACTACCCCGCTCCGCTGTCTAGCTGCTTTCAGGTACCAAACATCTCTCTGCAGTAAATCTCCAACGCTTTTGGAGAAATAGTTAACCCTGCCACTGCTTCTTTTCACTCGGAAATCAAAAGTAAGCTTGGGAAAAACAAATCAGAGCAAGTAACGGAATCATTTTATCTTCGGCATCTCGGTCCTACCCTGCTGCTGAAAAAAAGGTGTAAATGGTATAAACTCAGCTGCACAAATGTTTGGCTTCTATTCGAAATGCAGGAAGATGAGAGAGTGAGTGAATTCCCCCCCCCCCCCAACCACGCATTCACCCTCTTAATTATGTTGAGGTTGGGGATGTTAAACAGACTGAAAGTGAAACTAACCTTTCACTGTTTGACCTCGGTGAGCCCACCTCCTCCAGCTTTTCATGAAAACACTCTTTTCTCTGGTCTACAAAACAAAACATGAGTAACAGACCTGGCTTGAAACTGGCCGGAGCATTTCAGACACAATCAGAAGTATTAATCTGACAAAACTTCATTCCTGCATGATTTATCGTTTGGTGCATCGGCCCTTCAACACAAATCAAATTCTCATGATTTGCATTTTGGGAACATTCTGCTTTCGTCTGCATTCAGTGTGTCATTAAAATGCAACACGTGTTCCTTCTCCTCATAGACCACTCTAAGTTTAGAAACAGAGGAGAGAGAGAGAGACCGTTTACCCTTCAAGTCAACGTCTCAGGCTGCTGAAACATGGGCTTAGCTGATAAGAAGGCCAGCTTCTCTCTCACAAGAAATAGATTTTCATTCCTCATCTTTGCTCTTTCCTCCACCCTGAGCGAGAGGAAATGACTCTTTGTGGGCTGTTATAGTTGCACTGAGAAACCACCCCGGACTACAACCGCTCTTAAATCAGCTACATCACGGCCGAGCTCAGCGTCTACTTCTCGCAAATCGGATCCAGAGCAGAAATCAATCGCTCAAGGATGGAATACAGAAAATGAGGGTTTGCAGAATCAAAAGAAGGTAGAGAGATGGTGTGAATGCATGAGACGTAGAATGCATAGATCAGTATGTGCTATATCATTCAGCAGGTTATAGTTGCTTTGTATCAGCATTCAGTATTTACATTCAAACCAAACTGGCAGAAATCCCAGGACAGTAGAAACTGTTGTGTAATTCTCTTGGCTCCTAGTTGTAAAACATTTGATATCCTAAACAAATAAGTGATGTCATCAGCATCCAACACTGACATCCTAGTAAACCACAACGCTCTGCGTGGTTTGAGACCTTGAGGATAATAAAATAATGTGTGGTCACCATGCTGTGAGAGCTAATAAAAATACATTTTCATGCATAACAGCCCCTTTTCAAAAAGCTGTGACAAGAGCTTTAGTCTTGATTTCTGCATCTCTGAACCCCTCTACCTGGAGTTACTCGTCTCTGCCAGCCTGTTGTTCATGATCCCCAGTGCCCCGACCCCCCCAGAGAAACCGTTATGGCGCGAGCTACCGCAGACTGTCCTGGGGTATCCGTTGGCCGACTCTGACAGCTGCTTCTGCATGATGGCCAGTGACACCTTGCTAGAAGCCGCTAAGTCTTTCATAGAGATCATTTCCCCAGACAGCCTCCGTCCCTCAGTGTCGCTATCACAAGGCCCGTCTGAGTCAGGCTGCTGGTCTAATCGACCCTGGCGACCCCTGGAACCCGGGCGTATGGCATTACGTCTGCCAAGGAAGGCATTGGCCTTATGGCAACGCTGGCAAAATAAGCAGCTCATTTTCTCCAGGATCCAGTTGAGCACCTGCTTAATGACGATAGAAATGACGTTGAAGAGTGAGTAGATGCAGCACACACCCATTAGAATGAAGAAAAAATTCACCACCCTGTAGAGGCTTTGGTATTCATAAGCAGCGCCCTGGCTGCTGACGAAGTCTCCAAAGCCAATGGTGCTGAAGGTGACGAAGCAGAAGTAGAGCGAGTCCAAGTAAGCCCAACCCTCCACAGGGCTGTACATGGCTGACGCGCAGCAGGAAATGGTGATGGCCGAAAGGCCGAGGATCAGCATCACATGGTACACGGACGGCTTCCATCCGGGGAGGGAGTAGGCCGAGAAGTCGTGGCGGATACCTGGAGGTAGCAGACCGCTGTTCCTGATTCGCCGCTCCCTCACGGCCTTCATCACCACGGCCAGAAGTGTGATGATGCGCTCCAGGAAGAGGTTAAAGAAGAGGATGGTAGCAGCGCAGCCCAGAAGACCGTAAAAGATCAGGAACACCTTGCCTGCAATCGTCACAGGTGTTGTCATTCCAAAACCTGCAAAGAACAAAAGAAGAGATCTCAGAGTTCAAAAAGAACAAAACCCAGAAAATATAAAGATGTCTGTAGTCTCCTCACCAGAAGTTAAGCAACATCGAATATAAACAGTCATTCTAAATAAAGATTTTTCTACTCAGTGCTAAGTGATACAAAGTGTGTAATTAAACACTGTCTACAAACAACCTGCCTGGAAAATGCTTCAACCAGCCACCAGTCACTGACGACTGTATTAACTGCTCATTTAAGGTAGAATATTTCTTTTATCTAATCAAAACAACCATTCCAACACAATAGGACATAATGACATCAAGACTGCTAGGATGTTGGGAGGAATGCGTATTCATAAGTAGTTTCAGCTCGTTAATCAACAACAGACAGCCACAGATTATAAGTACGACCCTCCCATGTTCCAGTCAGAACCGACAAAGCTCCTTTGAATGAGAAGGGAAATGTCTTCACGAAACCAGAATCCAGTTGTCTTCATTTGAACCCTTTGGTTTATATTAATGTTTTACTGTGTTTTTAATTTTATTAAATGCTTGCATGTTTTAGGCACAGCTGTAATTATTAGGAAGACACTTTGAGGTGGATGAATGAGTTAATTTAGTCCTCTGAATATGCTTTCAGCAGGCTCAGCTGTGGGGTTTGGCTTAAATTGACCTCGAGTGTTCAAGATGAGAACGGGGCTTTAAAGATGAGTAAGGAGGAGATTTTTCTTTCAGATTTTTAACTGTGTGTTAAAGAAAAACTTGTGTTTATGTAAGTCAGGTGCGAGTCTGATATTAGGAGTCCAGGTGCAAGGGGAGGTCAAAAACTATTATAGATTCTCTCAAACCTTTTATAGAAACATTCAAGGCAAAGAAAGGTTAAATGGATAAGACAAAATCCTCGTTTATCTCTTGGAAATGTAGCTTGAGCTCAACGAAAAAATGTCTAAAATGACATAAAAGTCATGAATATGTTTCAACATTCAGATCTTTTTCAGCACATTTATTTATTCTGTTCATATATATAATGCGCTTTGCAAAATTTTGTGTGTAACTAATCCGAGGGTCAATGAAACACACACACACACTTTAACTGAGTGTATGCCTGTGTGTTCCTTATCAACAGAAGAGCAGATGTTATATTTGTCAACAAATAAAATCGTGCTGAAAGATCAACAAGTTCACTTTCAGGCCAAGGTGAATAGATTTTTCCATCTCCCGTTTCAGTCTTCTCGGAGCATTAGGGCAGATCATTTTCCCTTTCCCCCTCCAACCATCCTTGCCAGGTAATAAATGACATCAATATCTGGTCAATACTTCCTTTTATGATGGCCAAAATGGCTTTTTTGACCTTATCACTGGCAGCAAAATCTGCTCTCAAGCGGGTCTTTTGTTGACATGTTGGACCATTTAGATCAACACTGATTGATGCAGACTGTTTTATAGACAAGAGGTAATATAAGCTCATGCACGTGTACCATAACCTTACAGCTTTGCACACACACAAGGGCGCAGATGTTTAAATATAGGCTTTTATGATTGTTGTTCAGTAATTTGGCCAGAAAGCCAACCCCCGGTTACAGGCCTTGATTACCCAAACTAAGCCCTCCAATAAAATCCTATTCCAGCGTTCCGTAGTTAATTAATTAGCAGCCGAAGACTTCTTAACCTGACTGAATCACAGGGAATACAGATTACATCTTCGCAGTGCTCTCAGAGACAGCCTTCTGCACCATCTCTCATTACCAAGTAAATTACCTAAGAGAGGAAAAGGCACCAGGCATCGATTCAGCGTAGCATTTCAGAGCCATTACTCCAAACCACTGTGTCAGGACGCATTAGGAGACAGCGACCAATAATAGAAAGCACAGCCCGTAGCTGGCAAACATTAGGCTATATTTGTTTACAAAGACTTCTTCATTTATGCTTTCAAACTCCTAAATGAGGGCCGTGAGTGAAGACAGCAAGCAGGGGATGAAGGTTTTGATCGCACGGAGAAAGTTCAGATTTATTCAGTCAAAGTTGATGAGGCAGGAAATCAGATGTGTGCAAAACCAATTCAGTCATCTTCCATCCCCCTAGGAGACATTTATTCATTAACATTAAATAAGGTATGCTCAACTCAACATGGCAAATGATGCTACGCTCTGGTGGCTACACACATAATTACACAGTACAGACTCAACAAGGAGGAGAATTATGGAGATGGCACCATTTGTATCCATTAATTACAATTTGACAGTTTTCAGAGAAGCTCTCGCTTTAACTGTTAATCAGGCTGTGGGGAAGCTGAAGGGTTTGGAGATGAATAGATTATAGAATAACCCGTAATGACCTGATGCAACAAATGTGTTCCTTTCAAGCTTTAAGTGGTGCACTCAACGCACCACTTTCAGTTAAAAATACTGATAAACATCCCTCTGATGATCTTACCATTGTCTTTGTTTAATCTTTCTAGAAGTGGTGCTCCAAAGGAGTGGCCAGGGGTGCCCACATTCCACCTTGAGAATTTGTTGGGCGCCCCGCCCCCCAGGGAAAACCCCATCCATCAATAAATCACATTCATGTTCACTCAAACTTTCATCTTCTTAATAAAAAATACAGGAAAGCTAATGAATAAATTAGTCTCGACTAAATAAATTACTTAAAGTGACAATGTAAAGCTTCTGCCGATAACAATTCAACAACGGATTATGAAAGAATGGCTAAAGCTCGAAACGTGCGGAGTCTTCCTGATGTACGAGGTGAGTCTCTGCTTTGTTTTGGTTGTTTTGGCGTTAACATCATCCTAGCACGCAACATTCTGTGACTCTTAAAAAAACACTAAAAACGGCAAGATACGCTGGCAGCGAAGGGCTTTACCGATCAGGAAACGGCTGGCAGCGAATGAGTTAAAAATAACAGAAAAATAAAAATTTTGAAAATTTGTTTTGTTCCAGAAATATTTATGTTTCTCAGAATTGAGTTTGACAAGCTGAATATGCATAGGCCTATTGTTTACTTAATGAAAATGAATGGAGATGCAATGCAATGGGACTAATTTTCACTGGACCCAACTGGCCCCCTTATGGAAATTTCATTGTTACGGCACTGGATTCTAGTTTCTGCAGAAGGAACAGTTTTGAATTATCCCTCCCAAACTCCTCCGGATCTATTTTGAATTCAAAGCCTCAGGTCATAACAGGTCAGTACCAGACTGTGGTACATTTCACATGTAGGATTCCTCTCACCAGCGGTCGGGTGTGACTCACGCGTGCCCGGCTGTTATCAGCCTTAAGTGAGTGTCTCCCATTGCACTCCTCTCTCACAGTAAATTAGAGTCCTAAACAAATCACGTAAATTAGTAAGGATGGTGCTAATAGTTATATTGAATGCTCTGCTTTTCATTTGATACACTTAGCCGAACACTCAACCCTGAACCTTGATCAATCGATGAATTTAAACGAGAGCCTGTGTGAGCGGGAAGGGGGGGACTCGACAACACTCACAGGTGAGCTGACGACAGAAGGAAGTCAATGGAGGCAATAAAGTGACCTGCGCTAAAAGCCTTTCTTTAAAAAAAAGATGTTTGTGCCGTCGCCAGACGCCATTTTTGACTACAGCTAAAAAACTATAGTGTTACGCGGTACAGTCTGCATTTCTGCCATCTTTCTGACTGGTTATTTTTGAGCTGGCAAGTCCTGCCCCTCATGTGCCTCTCTGCCTGTGAGTAACTAGACTAGTTCTCTGTGCAGAATTAAACAGAGGACGAGTCTGGCAAGCGGGTTTAGAAAATGGGTGGATGAAATGATTGAAGCGGTAGTTTTGCAAAAAAACAGCTGCATGTGCTGAATTGTTAGTGTTTGTATTGCTGTTGCACATTGTTGCATTCACAATGCCCAACGTTTGTCACGATACTTGCAAACAACACACAGTGAAAGAAACAGGTGAAAACTGCAGCTTATGCACTTTGGTCATGCTGATTTCTCTGCAGCTCTCATTTTGAAAAATGGCCATAGCAACAGGAATAAAATGCAACAATGTGAATACAAATCTTTATTACAGAATCTACTTCACAGATTTTCAGAAGATTTAGTAACGTTTGTAATGATTGTCTGTTTTTGAACTTCTGTGGTATTAAAGACGCTTGCAGACTTTGCCTTGCTGCTCTCCCTGTGCCTCTTGCTGTGCACATTTTACTAAAAGTGAGATGTGCACAACCAAGCCAAAATGACACAAGCATGAGATGTATGATGCTGTGTCTTGAGTTTTGAATTGAGCTGCCATTTGTGAATCGAAGAACAGCAATAAATAAGGATCAAAAGAGATGAAAGTAAAAGCAAACCCTGAAAGCGAGCCTCTGAAGCAGCTCATCAATCTAACAGTGTAACAATACATTTGTATGTTTTTTCTCTTTGATTCTTTTATTTATTTATTTATTTATTTTACAAAACAGTAAGTGTTATCCAGAATAAATGCATAAATGCAGTAAAATAGCATCAATGTCGGTACCCTTAGAGATCCTTTGAAACTGTCATGCTCTAATGCTAGGCAACATTTTCATCCTTAATCAGTTGCAAGAAAAAGTTTTTTTGTTTTAAAAAACATTAAAGTATTGTAGTTACTGAAGAATTCAGCTTTTTATATCACAAAACAAGTCCGTCCATCCATCCATCCATTTTCTTTACACTTATCCATGCAGGGTTGCAGGGGGCTGGTGCCTATCTCCAGCGGTCCCTGGGCAAGCAGTCGGGGTACACCCTGGACAGGCTGCCAGTCCACAAAACAAGTTAGTATATAATCTTATTAATTTGAAATAATAATTAACTTCTTATGTACTTATTTTTTACTCTCCAATGTTGTGAACGTAATTGCTGCTGTGACAATAGAGGAACAATAAAGGAATGCTCTATTCTATTCTATTCTATTCTATTCTATTCTATTCTATTCTGTTCTATTCACATCAAATCCAGATGGCATATCAGGATTAGTACCTTCAACATAAACCTGCCGTATCCAATCCTGTATACA